TTTTTTTTTTTCTTTTTTTCTTTTTCAAATATTGTTGACGTTGATCGTTCAATATTGCCGGTACCATCATGAGAGACAACAGGAGAACAGAATAGCAAAAGGCTTAGAAGATTGTAGAAAACTCACCAGAGAGAAAAAGCAATGAACAGACTACCGGGGCCACCTTTAAGTAGCGTTTGACCGATTTGTACATACAAGGCCGTGCCCACAGTTCCGCCGATTCCAATCAACTGAATGTGTCTGGGCTTGAGGGTACGGCGGGTATGATCATAGACGGGCTTAGTTGGATCTTCGCCGATAGATTCCTCACCGTCGTCGACCACAGCTCCCTGTTTTGTGAATCCAATAGACTTTTCATCCTTGGACCCGGGTCGATAGACGGCGGGGGTGAAGTCGCCATGGTGGGTAGCCGTGACGAGGGACGCCTGGGGAGACCCCTCAATATCCGGGGCGGAGTTTGCCATGGCGGGGGAGAACAAGATAGTGATGGCTGGGTTAGACCTTCATAGCATGCAGAGGGCAGGCAATCAGAGGATAACCGGTAGTGGACGAGGCCAGAGAAGTTGCGAAGGGACAGACAGAAAAAAGAAGAAGAAGAAAAAATAGATAACAGAAAAAATAGACAGAAAAAAAAAAAACAAGAAAAAGACTCAAGGGGGGCAAAAGAAAAACAAGAAGCTAAGGTAGAAAATGAAAAGCGCTAGATAGAAACGGCAGCAGAAATCTCGATCAAGGCGAGGAAATTGACGCGCTAGCTTAGGTAGGCAAAGAGTGGGATTCGGAGGTTACTGTCCATGTGGAGAGGGAAACCAGGAAACCAGGAAACAATACTAGAGACGGATCCAGCTAAAGTAGTGGCAGACTGAACAGAGCAAATCATAATGCAGTAAGGATTCTCTCTCAATAGATAAGATCCCCGCGATGAGGATCGATGCATGTCAGATGCGAATTAACGGGTCCTATGGCAGCCGTCGTCCCGAGAGCTTTTTTCAATGATCAATGTGGGCCCCACCAGGGATCAAAACAGCCACCAGTGCAGGGTATGATGGCTTAGTTGTGGATCTGCGTCCATGGGCATAGGCTATAAGATGCGGGATGATTGAGACTTGGCAATAAGACAGGCAGTGGAATATTCACACCCTGTCCAGCTGACTTGAATCCCACTTCATATGTCGTGTTCCACTGGTAGGTAGTGGGTAACATTCCTGAATCCTAGGCCGTGAGGATACCATGTGTAGACCAAGTAAAACAAAAAAGAAAAGGAAATAGACAATCAAAATGAACATCATGATAATTCCAAACCAACCACTAATTCTAATTGACAGGACAATCTTGACAAGTCCAGCAACAATGACTGTTAAAGTCCTCCCTCATTTTAATCCTTACCGCTCTCCCATAAAAGGTCGATTCGGATCGTTGCTTCGAGAAGTGGGAGGTTTCTCCCCCAAGACGCTGGGTGGAAAGAAACTATCGTTGTCTTCATAGTGGAGGTAATGTGAGATGTCCGAGTCGACAGAGCTGGTTCTGCGACGCTGTTGATTATCAGGTGTAAGATCCTCGGGGATAGTATCTGCCATGTGCGACAGTGATCTCTGGTTGTCTGGTCTCGAAGACATAGCGGAGGACAGGAGATGTGAGGGGCCTTCCTGCTGCTGTAACACGAGGACCAACTTGGTAGATTCAAAGCCGACTCAAGAGAGATCAAAACGAAAGAATCAAAGTTAAGTCTGGATTTGGGTACTTTCCTTTAAAAGATGTGGAATTTCAAGAAACCAGCGTTGCATTGCATCCTCTGCATTCAGAGGGATGGGTGGAAGTCGAATGTGACATTGATGCGTATGAAAGGCGAAGGTCGATTGACGTCATCTCGTGCATGATCACGCGACCAGGCTGATGAATTCCACCTCGGTCAATGACCAGTAATTCCATGGAATTAATCTACTCTGAAAGTAAATTTCAACAGCTGGAATAAACATTCAAAGAACGGGAGATTGACTGTCCAAGTACTAAACAGGTGAAGCTCCAGCCAATAACACGGACAATAAATCCGATCGACGACTCATTTACCCATTAAGGTACCTAGGTACACAGGTTGGTTGACCTCCGAACGGCCCCGCCTGCCCCGCGTCTGACCGGGAAATTTCGCCATCGTCACCACCACAATAATAACTCCTTTCCTTTACACATTCTTACCTCAGACCTCAATTTTCTCATTGATTCTCGCCATTATGACCGGACACGTGGAAGAGCCCAAGCGCTTTTCGCCAAAGGAGCCCGTTCAGCTCAATCCCCCCAAGGATGACCCGATCACCAAGGAGGAATTGGCCAAGTGCGACGGTGCGTTCTCCGCCATATATACATTACCATGCAGACAGCGCATTCCTTCAGTCAATTCGAGGATATGTGTGACTAACGGATGATGGTATGGTAGGCACGGACTCCAATCGTCCGACCTTGGTCGCTATCAAGGGCATTGTCTTCGATGTGACCCGGAACGCGGCCTACAGCCCAACTGGCCAGTATCATGGTAAGACCTAGCTCTATACATGTCATAAATTCTCGGAATCCTGATGCTAATGCCTGATCTATAGTGTTCGCAGGAAAGGACCCCTCGCGGGCCCTCGCCTCCTCGTCCCTTAAACCCGAAGACTGTGTCCCCGATTGGTATGACCTGGAGGACAAGGAGAAGACCGTCCTGGACGAATGGTTCACTTTCTTTAGCAAGAGATATAACATCGTTGGAAAGGTCCAAGGTGCCACGAACTACTAGGTGACGGAAAACAGCGAATATTACAAAAACAATTGCAACAAAACAAGACCCAAGGCAGATCTAGTTCGGAAGGTGTACTACTATCGCACTACATCATCCCTCTCCCTATACCCACACAAGTAAGGCTCCTGATGTCTTATGATTCCTGCTCGGCACCATTTAGTCTCGTTCGGCAATGATGTTTCTTTCCGTAAATCCTGCACTTTTTCAATTGACCTAAACATGTAGGGGAATAATTACAGATAAATGTCTATACACAAGGGAACCCTTTTTTTTTTTGCCCATATTACTTCCCTCACTTCCGCGATCTCCGCTGCATCCTCTTCTTGGAGATGATCCGGTTGCGCTTCGCAATCTTGTTTTGTTCCTCGTCATCCTTGCCGTCGTTATCCTCCCCATTGCCGCCATTTCCTGCTCGCTTCCGCTTCTGCCCAGAAGGCTTCTGGCCGGGAGGTCCCCTGTTCCTCGAGTCCTTCCGGTTCGGCTTATCGTCGCCGTCCTGTTTCTCCTTCCTGGGCGCGCGCGATCTCTCCTGCATCTCATTGCGGCGCTTGACCACGTTGGCGTTCTCGATGGCAAACTCAACGATCAGGCGCTTTTTCTTATCCTTGCCGTCCTCCGTATTGGTCGCCGGAACGTCGACAGCGTGGCCGTTGAGCCACCGGAGACCCATCAACGCATGTCGATGGGTATAGTATTCCACGAAACCGTAGCCTCGACTTCTCCCGGCTCCACTGCCCTCGGCGATCTTGCTGCCGTCACGGCCTTCGTAGACGATCTTAGCCTGACGGACCACACCCAGACCCTTACTTCTTCGCAAGGTCTCTGCCGCCTTCATTTCGCCCGCGTGGCGCTGCAGCTCCGCCTTGGACAGCGCCTGACGTAGACCGGCCTTGGCATCCTCAGCAAACCCGGGGATAGCCTGTCGAGCAAGCTGTTTCAGATCCTTCGAGGTGATGTGACGCGGGAGGTTGCGGACCGAGAGACGAGTCAAACTCAGATGGAGAGACGGGTTCCGCTTGATCAGGTTCTGCCGCTGCTTGGAGCTATCCTCTCTCATCTTGATCTCGCTCGGCGGAAGCTTCTGCGAACGAGCAGCGTCGCCCGACATGGTACCCTCTGACAGGAGGTAAAGGCGGCGCTTGTCGGTGTCGCGGGCGAATCGTTTGGACGCGCCTTCGTCTTCGAGCTGAGTTGCGCGTGTTTTGCTCACCGCGCGGCTGACTTGCAATACGCGGCCGTCCATCGTGTACAGTCCGCTGGGGTCGGCGTTTTCGTTCTGCAGGACGGAGTGTTTCAGTGCGCTGCCGGGTTTCTTTCCCTTCTCCTTCTCTGCGGCCTGGGGATCCTGCTGTTTCGGGGCGTCCCTCACGCACGCCGCGGAATCTTCGGTTTTCCAAAAGCAGACGAAGCCGGTGCCGCGGGGACGCTCGGTTTCGTGGTCGACCACGATGCGCGCGTATCTGAGGGGGCCGAACTGGCTAAAGTGTTCGTAGAGTGACTCGTCCGTGCATGTGAAAGGCAGGTTGCGGAGGAAGATGGTGGAGGCGTTTCGCTCGTCTTCCTGATCCTCTTCGTCCCCACCACCTTCTTTGATTTCGTTCAGCGACTCGAGATCGTCGAGATCGCCTTCGTCGGCGTCGTCCGAGTCCTCCCCTTCGCCAGCTGACTCTTCGTCCGAGTCCGCTTCGTCCTCCTTATCACCGTCTGCCATCTCCACATCGTCGGACTTGACGTCGTCACCGTCCTTTTCAGCCGCATCTTCACCGTCCTTTTGTGTCTCCTCCCAGACTTCCTTCTCAACTGCCCAATCGACAGCCAAGGTTCTTCCATCGACTTCCTTCCCGTTAACTGCCTGGAGCGCCTTCTCGGCGTTCTTCTTTCCTCGCAAAACCACGAACGCAAAACCAGCAAGCTTGCCCCCCTTCTTTGGCAAGTTAATCCACTTGATCTTGCCGAAACTGCGGAAGTGAACCGCCAGATCATCCGCTTCCTTGATGCTCCACGGAAGATTTCGCACAATCAACTTAGGCGGAACACCTGTTCTCTTGTCCTCCCTCTGTTTCTTGAGTTCAAGCGCCGCAGAGGACGGTGCACTCTTGCCGTCCGTTTCGCTGATCGTCCGGTCGCGCGGCTGGGCGTAGTCGACTCTGATTTTTTTCCCGTCCATGGTAGACCCGTTTAGCTCTTCCAACGCGGCTTTCGCGTCCTCCACGTCGGCGAACGTCACGAATCCATATCCCTTCGACTGCTTCGTTTCGCGATCGCAGACGGCGACGGCGTGTTTAATCACGTAGGATTGCGAGAAGTGCTCTGTTAAGCTCTCTGTCGTCGCGGAGGCGGGAAGCGATCTGACGAAGAGGGTTCTTTTGGGCTGCGTCGAGACTGCTTTCTCCTGAGTGGTTGTGTCCTTTGAGGAATCCATGATGTCTTCGCCTTGGGGAAGGCTTGTGTTGTTGTTAAGAGTGTCACTTTCTGCCATTGTGAAAAGTGACTATTCCTTGTTTTATTTAACTTTTTTTTCTATCGTCTGCGGATTTTAGCAAAATCAGCGGCAGAAAATTTCCTGGCGCCCATGTTTGGAGCGGAGTGGGTCTGGGCGGTGAGAGATGGGATATTGCCCGGCCATTGGCAGACTGACTATGATGCTATTGCAATGCAACAGATGTACGGAGTGTTACTGTGGGTATTATCACCCATTGCTACGTATTAAACTACCTGTGCCTTTGGAGACAATGGCACATAATCAAGGCGACAATGCCACCCCAACAGCGGGTGAAGCCTCCCCCTCACGCTCCATTCCTTCGCGACCACCGCCGGCCAAGGTGCAGCAGCCCAAGCCGCAGGCGATCACAAGTAGAAGTGGGCCGTCTGCGATCTTGGTTTCGACCAGACAGAAGGGCAATCCTATTCTCAGCCATGTGAAGCTCCTACCCTGGGAATACGCGGACATCCCGGCGGACTACGTGATCGGAACTACGACTTGCGCGCTGTTCCTATCGCTGAAATATCATCGCTTACATCCCGAGTATATCTACTCGCGGATCCGCCTGCTGGGAGGAAAATACTTACTCCGCGTCATGTTGGTTATGGTAGACATTCCAAATCATGAAGATAGCTTGAAGGAACTCTCCAAGACGTCTATTATCAATAATCTCACGCTGGTCCTCTGCTGGTCTGCCCCCGAAGCTGCGCATTATCTAGAGCTATTCAAGTCGTCGGAGAACTCCCAGCCGACGGCCATTCGATCCCAGCAGGCTCAGTCGTACAAAGAGTCCCTTGTTGAGTTCGTCACGACCCCTAGGAGTATCAACAAGTCGGACGCGGCGAGCCTCATCTCGACGTTCGGGAGCCTGCAGAATGCGGTCAACGCGCAGCCGGAACAGATCAGCTCGGTCCCTGGTTGGGGGGAGAAGAAGGTGCGGCAGTGGTCAAACGCAGTACGAGAAGATTTCCGGACGGAAGCGGCGAAGAAGAAAGTGGCCCCTGGACGGGATATGGGAGGCCACAGTGTGCCTCCAGGGGAAAGTAGCTTTCCTGCTTCAGAGCCGGTCGCAGATCGTGGAGTCGGGTCGACTTCTGCGGATAAAACAGATGAAGAGGGCCAGAGGAAGGACAATGAGAGCTCCCAAGCCGGTGCGAGTGGTGAAGCGGAAGGCATGAGCGAGGACATCATGGCCGCACTAGCAAGGCTTCGAGGGAATGACGGCTGAGCTGGCTCGCCAGTAGAATGGAATTGAGGCCTGTATCGATGCACTACCACCGAAGGCTCTGTCCATCCGCTAGATAACCCCCGGATTTATTCTACCATGATGACTACTGGTTTTACGCGGAGACACGAGGGGAGGAAGATACATAATAGTGGATGGCAAGGGAATTCTCCGTTGGGATCTCCTTTTCTTGCTGCACACCCACGAGACATCCATCCATCAAAGGACCATTGTACACCTGCAGTGGATGAACCGACTGATAATTGCTGTTGTTGGAAATGGTTGCCTTATGCAGCGCACCGACCATCTGATTGGATTCAGGCAATCAACCCCATGCCGATCACCTGACGTGTGGGTGGGGCGACAACTCAAAAGGGAAATCGGGCTGACGACAAGCATTGGAGTGGATTCCAACGTCAACTCCTTCACAAGATGCGCCAGCGATCTCGGTCGCGACCACACTATCTTGATCTGGTCCGCGATCGCCTTCGTGTAATGAACGATTTCCACCTTAGGGCCTGACCCTAATGGCCCTGCATCCTGCAGCTAATTAGAGTTGACTTTACCCCGGCTAAGGCCGGACTATGAAAGGATGGGGGAGGAGGGTGACAAAAATGTCGGACCCAATCTTGAGTCCGACGGGAACACGCACAACTTGCCCGATGCTAGTCTCTTCGAGGATTCGTCCCACACGCAGCAGAACGCCCGTAATCGTGCACGCCCACCACTAGGGCCGTCCAGGAGCCAGCCGCCCCGGACGAGCCCGCAAGCCTCCCAGTCCAAGAACTTCGAATTTGTCTTGGTCACCGATAATGAATCTCGGCGCCAGGTCCGGCGTCATGCCATGCGTCAGTATATGCATCAGCGACGGATTGATAGCATCGCTCGCTTAGAGACCTCGCGTCTCCCCGTCGGTGGCTGGACCTCCCGCAAGCCCCTTGATGGATTTGTATCGGAAACACCTTCGACAACAGTAGACATCGACGATGGTAATTTCTCACCATCTGACACGAAATTCTCGGTTGAACAACGGCGCCATCCTGCGGGAAAGGGAAAGGTTCCGTCTCGGATGCCAATACCGAAATTGCATAGTGCCAAACGCGGAGATCCTTCTCCACCCTCAAAGGCTGGTCCAGAATGTCCCAAGCCTCAGATAGGTCTCGGTGGAGGTGGTACACAGGATCCCTTTGGATCCTATCCGATCCCTGTTTGTTACGCCGATCACCAGCTCATCCAACACTGTAAGTCTGGACTCCTACTGGCTTGGCATCGCTCTCGTTGGTGATGAAGTGCATGCGCCTTCGAGTTCATTCCAGACATACTGTATAGTTGACTGCGAGCTTACTATTGTTGAGTTGTGGTGACATACCCATCCATGATGTACAAGTTTGTCGACTCGCTGCCAAACAACCCGATGATGGAGATCTTTCGGCAATTCGCACTCCACGACGATCTCCCGTTCCAGGCGATGCTTGCTATTGCGTCCAAGCATCGCGCGGGTGTCGAAGGCAAAACAGAGTCGGTTCAGAGTCTGACGCACAAAATGCGGGCGCTGCGACTGATGAATGAGCGCATTCAGGCAGATTCAGTGGGACAATGCGACGGGACTATCTATGCGGTAGCCACCATGGCAGTCATCGAGGTAAGCTGATCCCCACAGATGGTCGGGACTCGTAGTTGATAGCAAAGAGAAATGGTCCAGGGACGCCTCGATCGAGCGAATGCACTTCAGGGGGCTAGCCTCGATGCTCAGGCATCGTGGGGGGATGCGCGGCATGCGAGCGTCCTGCCCTTTCCTGGAAAAGGTTCTATACTGGTATGTTCCATGGATAGAACGTTACTACCTATGCATAATGTATGCTCACCATTTTCCTAGGGTGGATTTCAGCTGCGCCCCAAAAGCGATCGTTGGCGGCTCTCTGCCGTGGACGGGGAGCATTCCAGACATGCCACCAGCCTCACTCGACTTTTTGACTTCAGAACTCCACCTCGCAGATCCCCACTACCCCACATCCATAGAAGACGCAGAAACCTACGACCAATTCCGGGCCTGCGAGGACTTTCTCCGATTCTTCCGCCATCTCGAAGTCCTAGAGCGAGCGGTCCTAAACCACCACGGCAGCATCGTCGCTGACTCCTCCTCTCGCATCAAATGCTTCAGCCCAGGGACACGCCTCCACGCAATCATCACCATGCTCCCGGACTACGACCATGGCATCCGCGACATCCGCTTCATCGACGAATACACCTGCATGACCTGCCTCTTCTTCCTCGCCATCGGCCTCTACGACAGCTACCTAAAAAGCACCAACTTCGACCACTACATCAACTGGCTCGACACAGAAATCACAAAACTCAACCCCTACAGCAACCCCAGCATCACCTCCATCATGTGGCTCTTCCTCAACAACGGCGGCTACCCGGCAGGATACCCCAGCGACGCCGGCGACAGATGCTGGGCCGTGTCCCGCATGGTGCGCGTCGCCAAGCGTCTGGAGTGGAAACGCCAGGGCACGATCTGGGACCGGATCCGGCAAGTGCTGATTGACTTTCTCGCTACGCAGCAAGACTGCGCGCTGGGATCGGATTCCGTTGACGCGGAGGCGCTGGCCGCCCGGCGGGTGAGGAATCAGATGCCGAGGGAGTATTTCTGGGATGAGGATGAGTTGCGGAATGATATTTTGGGAGTTGATCAGGATGGAGTTTAGGGGTGCTATATAACTCTATACGTTATGGTCAGTGAGGCCTGCCTATATTGATTTCTAGATATCTATTTAGTTTTGTCACGGCCGCCAACAACGCTCTAGTTTTTACGTACCTAATTGGGTGGATCTATCTATTGCGTTAATCCATTATCATATTCACCGAAACGACTATTTAGTCCTTTATTCATATCTGCATTTACGGGGTTGGATCTACACAAGGAATGAATGGACGCGCGCATGTATATATATACTATGCTCGTAGTATACATAGGCATGAACAAATCGAATGTAGAATAGCAACGGAAGTGGGTATTTGATTGATGAGATGAGATGAGATGAGCTTTTGATCAGCAAGACCCATGGTAAAAGCTATGAGTAGAATCTAACGAATAACAAGCATGACTGATGAGTGAGAAAATCAAGACGAAAATAAGGTTAAAAATATAAGCAAAGCAGGTATAAATAGATAGATAGATAGACAAACTGTTTGACTGTGACTGTAGTTTAGTTGTCGTGGTTCTTAAAGACGTAACCCGTGCATCCATCCACATTTCGTGCAAAGCGAGATAATACCAGATATAACATACATATCAGATATAAGATCTCAGATACTGATGGAAAAAAAGAAAAGAAAAGAAAAAGAACAAGAAAAACAAATCCGCAGCGCATTTTTTCATTTCCTTTCAGAAGGAAAAGGAAAAGGAAAAGAAAAGAAGTTATAAAAAATGAAAAAGAATAAACAAAGACCGACCAAGCCCATGGTATCAATCAATCAAAAACGAAGACGCGCATGCACACGAAGATGAATAACGGATTTAATTTCGGGAAAGCAAGTTGGTGGTTATGTGGGTGGGTAACTGGCGGCTGACAGACGCTATGACTGACAGATGTGGTATTGGGAACATAATTGATAAAGTAAGTAGTAGGTAAGTAAGGGAGGTAAAGTCGTGGTTGCGTCGGTTGGAGAGAGGTCGGTCAGCACATGCGCACATCAAAGGTCCATGCTCGTATCCGTGATAGCGTTAAACGACAAGACGTGAAGGATTGGAAATGAAGATGAAAAAGAAAAAGAACAGAAAGGGAAAAAAAAAAAGAGAGAAAGAACAAGCTCCAGGCTATCTTGGTCTAAGTGGGTTTGTCGCAGCCGATCCGGCCCAGCAAGGCCTTGCGGTCACTCTGCTCGCCCAGGCGGACTCGGCCACGGCCGCGGCCCCGGGGTCGTGCGGTGGAGGATGCGTTGGCGCGGCGCCAGTCGGCGTTGGTGGTATCGGCGGTTGCGGGGGTGGGGCCCTCCTTGTCGCGGACGTCCTCGGCGTCCTCTTCGTCATCGCTGCGCGTGTCCTCGGCGTTGCCGGTGCGGAGGACGCCGACGGCGACGCGGACGACCATGGTGAACCAGATGATGGACAGCAGCTGGAGCGCCAGAAGGAAGCCCAGGAAGATCCACTTGATGGTGCGGTTCATGCAGATGGGTCCGTCGAGGTTCAGGAACGGGTAGAAGAGGTAGGTGAACTGGTCGGGGTATCCGTTGTCGGAGATCATTTCGGCGGTCTTGCCCGAGTAGCAGCCGTAGGCCATCTGGGCGGGCACCTCCTTGAAGATGGACCAGCAGAGCATGGGGTAGAAGATGTGGCGCGAGATCAACCAGGTGACCATGAAGACGCCGAACGCGATGTTGCAGGTTCTCTCAAACTTGAGGTACTTGAGGATTTTGGCGGTCTGCGGGGGTTTAGTTGGGAGTCACTAGGGAAATGCATCTATAGTAACGTACCGGCAGCATGAGGTCCACAATGTCCATCAGGCACAGCACCACCACGGACACGTTGTAGAAGCTGTAGATGTAGGCCGAGGCGAGCAGCGTGCTGGTGATGATGTGGTGGGTGAACATCTGATAGTGATCCTTGCGGCGCTCTTCAACATTGATGACGAAGATCTGCTGCAGCCAAAACGCGAGCTGCACCAAGAGATACCACTTCAAGTTGCCGGACACGCCTCGCGCGGGCCAGTCCGCCCAGATGGAGCCAAACCCTTTCCAGAAGGGGGCATTCATCCAAATGTACTAACCAGCGTTAGCCAGGCCGTTTCCAAGGGAGAGTAGAAAAAAACAAGTCCAACGAACCATTCCAAAGCACCAGAAGAAACCATAGTAGACGCACTGCCATCCCTGCTCGGCAAGTCGAAGGGCAGCCTTGGGTTTCAATCCGGCATGACGGGCGAGCGGTTGCAGGATCCAATCGATGGTGATGGCGCGGATGGCCGTGAAAGCGATGGCGGAGCTAGCGACGAAGTAAATATCATCCCAGCCCTGGATGTAATCCCCTTGATCAGGCCGGTAGTATGACAGCTGGAAGAAGGGCGTGGTGTAGGGCCGCAGAGACGGGTACAGCTGGTGCACGGCCAGAAGCATGGAGAGGATCGTCAAGGAAATCCCTGCGCGAGAAGGCATTGACCAATTAGCCTAGGCAATCCCTCGGTGGTAGGATGCTATTGGGGGGAATTGGGGAAAGGTTTGGTTTCCCTGCAGCAGCCCGCGCAGGAAGGGCGGATTGGCTCGACGCCGACTCGACCGCCACACAGGCATTTGAAGGGGAACGTGCATACCGATTTGGTTGGCGACGACCCATTGTCGAAAGGTCGTCTCTTGAGCTTTTACCGGAGGTCGGTGGCCGGGAGAAACGCAGGCATTGAGATCGGACACCGATGGCGGTTGGGACGCAGTCTCGATGGCCATGATGAGAGGAGGGAGATGATGGAATTGATAGTGTGCAGGAGGACACTGGGATCCTAGAGCACCGACCAGAAGAGGGACAGCGAGATTGTTGCGCAGGAGGGGAGGTGGATAGAGAAGGAAGAAAAAAACACCGAGGGGGTTGAGTTTAAGGACGGTGGATCCGGTGGATACGGGGGGTGGTGGTCAGAGGGGAGGAGAGTATGGAGTAGATAAGAAGGGAGTAAGGAGAGAGATTGAGATTGAGGAGAGAATAATTGGGGAGAGAATTGAAGGAGGAAGAAGGAGAATGAGAGAGAGAGAGAGAGAGAGAGAATGGTTGAGGTGAAGAGAAGTTGTTGTGATTAACAATGGTCCGCGGGTGCGGGTACCTTTTCCCACCTACATCTTCCTTTATTTATTTACTTTTTATTATTTACTTCTTATTATTATCATATATTTATATGGATATTTATATATATTTATTCTTCTAGATTTATTATCTATTGAGAGTATCAAGAATGAAAGTACAATAAACTTGAAGAGAGAGAGAGAAAAAAAAAAAAAAAAAAGGAGATGAGAGGATCTGGATTCGTTTCAACCAGAAGAAGCATGGCCCACCGTTACGCAGTTACGTACGTGGTACTTTGCCAACCACGGCTCTGCCATACTAAGTCTTTGTACTTCCAGGTATCTCTGTCACCGCTAAAGATACCATGTAGATCGGCGCATTTGAAACAATATTCAGCAACACAGTGTCCTCTTGAGTCAGTCCTCAGTCCAGACACATATCAGGGTTTCGACTCGGTAAAATATCCAAAAGTCCATCTGGTGATCTTCTCCGGATCTGGTCCCGCTATCGTTTCCATCGGATCATGCGTTCCACCACTATCTTTCGAGATAATACTAATCAAGATGGTAGGAGAATATACAATATCTATCACCAGTCAATTGACTATTGACTTCTTCCTGGACGGAGAATGGATTATCGATCCAACCCCCCCGTCACCCCATCTACATATTCCGCCGCATTGACCCCCAGTTGGGCCAAGTCCACTCCGCCGTGTCCACTCATCGCCCGCGACATGGCCCGCACCACTTCTTCTTCTTCCCAAATACTGGTCGGCACCACCGTCTGGCCCTCCCCATTCCCACTCCCACTGCCTTCCCCATCCCCCTCCCCCACTCCACTCCCGCTCATCGCCACCACCGTCCGCCAGTAAGCGTCGTCCCGCTCCTTCAGCTGTTTGTCCCGCACCACCGCATTGCGCGTCACGCTGCTCGCATGTAGCTTGGCGCGGGCATCCCCCGTCGCCGACAGCGCCTGCGACACCAGCTGGTCGACTGCGTCCGCCTGCGACGGCGGCGTGAAGAAGAACCGGTTCGTCGCCGTCAGGTAGATGACCGCCGCACACGCCGCGTCGAAGATGGCGAACGCCAGTGGCCGCAGCAACGTGATGCGGTCGTACAGGCTCGTCGGCGTGCGCATGCCCGCGCGCACGGCCGCCGACCCCGACTGGATGGGGTCGTACGTTGCCACGATGTAAAGGTCGATCGCTGCGAGGGCGAGCCCCGCCAGCGTGAACTTGTTGCGCCACCGGGCGGCGTGTCGGCCGGCGAGTGGGGCGGACGTCGCCAGCCCGATGACGGCCATGTGGAAGAGGTGCGGGATGAGCGTGTTGAAGGGGAGGTAGTAGAGGAGGTGGGTGTGGAGGTTGTCGAGCGAGCAGAATTGGCACCCCGTGAGGGTGTCCGGTCCGTATCGGAGGTAGGCCTTGCGTGCGCCCAGCGAGATGAGCTTGCTGCGGAGGAGTTCATCTGCGGCGGTGAGGGTGTTGCCGGCGCGGTGGCGCGTCAGACGGCTGAAGAGGACGTCGGTCGGGGTGTTGATGCGCGATCGCGTCAGGGCGAAGATGTTGGATTCCGGCGCGTGCGGGTTCCATGGTAGGCTGAGAGCCAGGAAGAGGGCGATGGCGAAGAAGAGGACATTGAGGGCTTGGGATGCTTTGGTGGGGAGTGGTCGAGGTGGGGGGCGTTGGGTGATGAGGACTCGGGCGGTTCGGTAGAAGTTCAGAAGGCGAGGGATGATGACGGGCGCGAAGAAGATCAAGAGCGACTTGATGCTGTAGTTGTTAGTGAGATAGGGAAGAGGATACAATGAGGGGGATATGAAAAACATACGTCTGGAACGAGATCCCCGACTCCGCCATTTTTCTGTCGGGACCTGTGAGAAGAATGAAGCTTACAGAATAGTTGTCTACTTGGAAGGTTTCCTTAACGCCAGGGACTACGGAGTACGGAGTCCCCTAGGTAGAGAGCCCGCCAAGATCGATCTAGCCAATGATACCCCGCAGAAGTATATCTCATTGCTATGACATTCAACCAATGCATCAAACTGTGACTGAATCAAGATGGTATAGAAACAAAAAACAATAATTAAACAAACATCAATAAAAAGGAAAAGGTATCTTCGCTAATTTTCTCTCCATAACTAACGCCAACTACACTCATGCCAATTAACCACGTCCACCCAATCCCCTCAGGTACATCACCTAAGCTAATGTCCATCAGATATGCCCCGACTGCAGTGCAGGATGATGCGCTGGATTAGGAGCAGTCACACCCGAGGGATCCCTGGAATAGATCGACGAAGCCGCATCATTTGGATTCAGCGGTCCCGAGATCTTCACCGGAAATCGAGAGAGTGTACTTTGCCGCCGTATCGGAGACGACGTGTACGTCGGGAGCGTCTCCTCACGTTTGGTGCTGAGCTGAAAGGAGCGCTGGCTGCTGGTCCGGGAGATCACTTTCTGGGGCGCGACGGCTCCGTAGACCCGTACATGGCGTGCGCTGACTCCTAGTTCACGGTCTGCGAAGATAAAACTCTGTAGCCAGTCAGTCTCCCTCTTTCTTTCTGGTGTAGTGTACTATATTGTAGAGGGCAGACATACCGACGCCAGATTCACCACACTCATAACCATAGCCAAGATCCCCGCCGAGAGGACAATCCTCCAAAAGGCAAGACCCAAGGACTCCTGGCTGGTTGCCTTTGTATTGAGGTCGCCCAAGACACCAACCCCAAGCATGAGCATCGCCAGCGCGAGGGTAATAAACCCGGAATCCTGGCCGAGGAGCTGCCAGTTCCGGTCAAAGTAGCCACGGAAGAAGGGGAGTTCCGAGACGATGAGAAATACTGTCTAGTTAGCGATGTGCGCGACAGGTGGGCAAAAGAGACTAGTACTTACTGCTGATACCGGCAGCAATGACATGAGAAACGGCCTCGAAGAAGAAAAAACTGCTCAGCATCGAAATCTTGATGAGCATCACCACACTGGCAGCGATGATATCCAGTAAGGCGATGATGTTGAGAACGCGGATCGCGTTGAGGATTATAAACCCTGGACCAGCCAGAGATTCTTTCAGGGAGCCCATTGTGAGCGCAAGCTATATAAAACTCGGATTCGAGTACGGATGAAGGTATTTTGATCAACGATGATCGAGAAATGTGTGTGGTAGTAGAATGACTGCCCGGTCAAGACACGGAAAGCAAACGAGAGAAAGTGCTAAGGCTGGCCTGCAGCGAAAACCACAATATCAATGCACACAAGGAAAGAAGGAGCCGGTGAAGAAAAGAAAGCGAGAAACAAGGCCAGCCAGGATAATGAAGAAAGAACAAAGTCCATAGAAAGACAACCGAAGAAAGGACGCGACCAAGGTCATTATCAATTAACCCTCCCCCCAGAACTCGCCCATCAATCAGCAGACAAACAGACAAAGACTAGCAACAATAGACCGAGATCGGGAGTTGAAACAAGTCAATAACCAGGTTCAACAATTGATCGCATTCATTGTAACCGCCGACAGGACTGCTTGACTGCAGGTGGTATCCTTAGGGCTCGGGGGAAATAGAAGGACTGGCCGACAATGCAACCTCTGGGGAGGGTCTGAAACGGCCATTGTTTACAATCCCCAACCCATTGGATGGGGATTCTTCTTCAACTTTGTCTCGTCAGTCACTGTCTGCTCCTGAAGACTCCACGAAGCGCCTAATTCCTTAAATTAGCTCTCTTGTTCGGATGAGTCGAGACAAGGTGCATTAGTCTTTGCGATAACCGCCGGGGCATTACCGTGCAGTATCTGAGCGCTTCCTTTCTTGTTTTCTCTATCATTCCACTCTTATGTCTTATTCTAAAGACCTCACCTGTTGAAATGTTCCCTTTCCAGGCGGAGACCCAAATAGCTCCAGATTAGTTAGCGCCTGAGATGCATGAACCCATCCATGCAGGACAACCACGAGGCGCGAGCCATACGCGCCCAATCGAAAATCGAGTCAATCGTGATGCACAACAGATCTGATGTTCAAAGGATCAAAGCTACTGGCGAACAGTAAACTACCAACAATTGCACAATCTAACCGAGATGAGTCAATCGGCTGGTACACAAGTAGCATCTACTGTCAAGCGACTCGCATATATATCTTGGACCTCAGGCGGGGAATTCCATTTGCAGTTAGGTAAACATCATCATGTGCCCGTCTCTTTTTCTCTCTTTCTTCTTCTCTTCGCCCTTCTCTCTCTCTCTTTCTCTCTAGCTCTCTCTTTTATATTGACTACGTATTTCTTATTACTATTCCATAGTTCCACATAACCACCCCCTTCTCTTCTTCTGATCAGAAATCAATTACTGTATCCAACTCTTGGTATACTTAACCTTGAGCTACCATGCGTGGACAGTGAATCTACGACGCATTCAAAATGGCTCAATACAAAGTCGCACAGCGCCAGTCATCGCTTAGCTGGCAATGGCGCTATCATTCACTAGCAACCTGCCCGGTGCCAACACCCTTGAGCCGAAGCTTTTCGTCAATCCCCTCAAGAACAAACTTGCTTAGCCCCCCAATATTCTTCCCCTTGGCAATCTTCATCGCCGGAACATCAACGTTGAGCCGTTTCCGCAGCCAGCTCCGGATCTCGATCGTCATCAGCGAGTCGATCGGTATTTCCGCCGCCGCCTCGACAGTCTCATCCCCGGACCCCGCGCGAACGAGATGAGCGATCTCGAGCGTCATCAATTCCACCGAAGACGGGAGGTGCAGGATAGATGGGTCGCGTTCCGCGTCGGCGATGAATTGGTTGATGGTGTCCATCTGGGAAGATCCTCCGCTCTCGTGTTGAGTGTCTGCCTCCTTGAAGAGCGCAAGGCGGAGATCACTCTGGTACGTGGTTCGGCAATGCTCGTTGGTCAGTTGCTGCAGGCCAACGATGACGGAGCTGGGGTCTGCGCCTTGGTCTGGGTTGAAGGGTACTCGCGCCTGGGCGATAGCAACCTGCAAGGCGCGAACAAGCTGTCGTTCCCCGAGGGGCTCTATTGAAGAGGCCAGGCACCGCTGCAGAAGGTCAGGATGCGCACTGACATACCCGATATCCTTCACGGCGCCCAGGTCGAGCACTGCGCTTGGGAATCCCCGGGCTCGGCTGTACTTGGCGAAGGCCTCGTGGAAGCAATTGGCCGCGCCGTAGTTGGCTTGCCCGACGTTGGCCAAGTGGCCGACTAGGGACCCGAATAACACGAAGAAATCCAGTGGGTGGTCTTGCAAAGCGCGGTACAGGTTCCAGGTGCCTTCGATCTTGGGCGAGATGGCACCCGTCCATTCATCGTGCGTCATCTTCTCAAAAGTTTGATCCTGCGTCCTAGTGTCAGTATTCATACGCCGTCTCAAATGCAATACCAGGGCCCCTACCTTCAGAACCATCGCCATTTGTATCACCCCTGCGACAGGGTGCGGGCATGCGTTGAGGGCTCGCTTGACGTCGTCAGGATTGGCAACATCCCCGGCCACCGCGGTGATCGAGCACCCCATGACCTTGAGTTCGTGATGGAAAGCCTCAAAACCGGCAGAGTGACCGGCAGATCGAGAAAGGAATACCAGGCTTCGTGCTCCGCTTTCAACCATCCACCGGGATACAGCCTGACCAAGGCCCCCTAGCCCCCCGACCAGGAGGTAAGATACCTCGGGCGAGAGCGAAAGACGTTCCTCTGCTGTAGATACTGGAAGCTGGACCGGGTCTTCGGGGAAGCGGACGAGAATCTTGCCCATATGCTCACCCGTCTGCATGTACCTGAACGCGTCCTCCACCTCGTGGGCCTCAAAAATAGTCCTCGGCTCGATAGGCTTAATCTGCCCTCGCTCAATATACCCGATGGCTTGTTGCAAAATTCTAATGCCGATTATCAGCGTTTCGCGATGGGAGCGGAGAGGTTTACAGGAAACGGCTTACCGGAAGACCTCAGCTGGTCTTTGCAGACCCATGTGGTGCAGGTCAACGCCAAAGAAAGAGCGGTTACCCTGGAATTGATCCATCCTCAATGTCCCATGTCCCATCATGTCTCGCTTACCGATTTCAACCATGGTCCCGAACTCCGCGACGCACTCCCATGACGCATGTAGGCATTCCCCAGAGAGGGAGTTCAGCACGATATCGACACCTCGGCCCCCTGTCACCCCGAGAACATCTTCCTTGAAACTAGGGTTTCTGGAGTTGAATATCCGATCTCGCGGTATGTGGTGGTTGTTGACAAGATGTTGGGCCTTGACCTCACTCCCGACAGTGGCGAAGATCTTGATACGTAAGTTCGTGCCCGTACTAGGCATATAGATTTAGGCGTATAGCTCACCTCTGCACCTATCATTTGGCAGACTTGAATTGCCGCTAGCCCCACTCCACCGCATGCTGAATGTACTAGGACGGACTGCGCATGATTAGCTCGGCTATGTGAGCACGATATACCGTCAAGCAAGAGTGTAACACACCTGTCCACTTTGCAATCGTCCAACAGTCAAGAGAGAGTATACGACCGTCGCGTAGACGCATGGTAGGGTCACCGCCTTCTCCAGGGACAGCTTTGCGGGAATCTTGCAACACTGGATGCTCTTAGCTACAACCGATGTGCTGAACATTGGGCTCCCCATGACGGAAACCCGATCACCGACACGAAGGATTTGATCGTGTGGGCCAGGGCCGATGCCACGGACTATCCCGGAAGCTTCAAAACCCAGATCATCTTTGTGCCCGATGAAACCCATCGCAACCATCATGTCCTGGTCAGTCATTCGGCCGTGTTAGCCAGTCGAACAGTAACTCTGGGGTTCCTGCCGCAGCATACCTTGAAGTTCAGGGCGACGTATCGCACCTCAATCTCGACTTCCCCAGCGCCTGGTAGTCGAGGCTCATGCTGCACCCAGTGCAGGGTGTCCAACAAGCCTGTGCTTCCAATAGACAGTCTCCTTGCGCCATTGGGGCATCTGCGTGTGGTCGCCCGTTCCGACAGGTCTGTGGGATGATAGCGACAGGTGTAGACAGAGCCGCGTTTTATCGAGTATTCGTAATCTGGCTCTAACCCAGATAACAGACGTGACTGAAACTTTTGGTACACCTTGACGAGAAGATCTAAGCCCCGTTGGTTCGGTGGATCCATCTCGACAGTTGCAAACGGGATGGATGATTCCAATCGAACTGAACGAGCCACGGCGAAGGTTTGGCTCCATCGGGGATCCTCACACTCCATTTGAATGTGTCGTGCTACCCACAGGATACTTTTAGGCGGTTCCCGGTTGATGAAATCCCGGAAGAGATCGAAGGAACGCTGCGAAATACCATCGAAGAATGGGGAATTTAGGTCAAGCAGCGACACGATATTTCCGCAGGCCCCGGATTCCAAGGTACACCAGCTCACCGAATATCCTTGCCGCAAAAATACATTCTCAATAGATCGAGCTGATTCCGTGATAGCCCCGTCATACAGAAGGCTGATGTGCTCTCCAGTGAGTTCGTCCGAAGGAAGTCGCGATATGATGTTGGCATTGAACTGGTACGGTTGCACGTTATCATACGCCATAGCTTCGGCGCCAGTAAAACCAGCCATTCGTAGCTCCTCATCCCACCTGGAGGGGGAGATGTATGGATGGTCTACACGACCTTCACATTCACCGACCCACCACCCCTCCAGCAAGCCCTATTTTTCCATGTTCAGTATAAATTCATCTATTGCTGAGAACACACCTACCATGATGCCATCAATCAAGGATGTTTCTGTGGATATTGGTCAGTTCCATGCTGGCGGCGCATCGAGAAGCAAAAGCCTACCTGGACATAGCTCCTGTAGGAATAGATACCCCCCCGGGACCAAAAGCTTACGGACATTGGACAGCGTTGTCTGTAGTGCCGGAGTGGCGTGAAGTACCTGGAAAACTATTAACATCTGCGTGCCTAGTGGAGACTTGAGGGTCATACGTTGGAGCACACAACCAGGTCGAAAGAAGCCGCGCTGAAGCCCTGCTCGACGGGGTCGCGGGTAATATCAAGGGTCTTGAATACCATTCTTGGAATATTTCTGAATCGCTCCCGCCCGGCGGAAAAGAAACCCGGCGAGATATCGGTAAAGACGTATTCGGAGAACATCCTAACGCCGTTTGCCGTCTCCAAGCCTTCAAGCGTTGACGCTGTCATACCACCAGTACCTGCACCTATCTCGAGGACACGCATGTGTGGTCGCGAACGTCCAAGGGCAGAAAGGAAAGGCCTGTAATCGGATGGGTGCGATATACTATTGTAGAAGAGCTCAAGGTCATTGTTGACCATCATGGATTCAACCATGGACACTTCTCCGCGGAAGATACCTTCAACACTCGCTGCGATGCGGCTGGAAAAACGTGCTATCATTTGAGCAGACTCGCTCTGAAAGTTCTCTTCCGCACGCCTCGATAAAGACGCACGCAGTGATTCTTGTTGCTCCGGATCCATCGCCGTCCACTCCTGAGCTTCCGGCACTAGAGCGTGATTTCCATGCTGGAATTTTTCCACGCACTGCGCTAGCCAGTGTTTGTAATTCAAAAGGTAAGAAGCCTTTGGGGTGATGTTCTGAGTTGAGCGGTACATGATCATAATTTGTAGTGCACAAATCTGCTCTATCACATGGAGCTCGAGTTCCATTCGTGGGGGAGCCGGAGGCAACAAGTCAGCTAACGATGGGACAAACTCGATATCCGGTTGCCAGTCAGTTCGAGCCGACCGCAGGCCGTCATTAAAGCTATTGCCGTGATCGTCGGCCTCCATAGCGAAAGACTTGACGCCCTGGATATCCAGGATCACCTCCGTGGATCCGACGACAAGGCTGTCTGCCATGAAATTACCATGCGCAGCCTTTCGACAGGTCGCCTGCGCTCGCAGTTCTCCGGGGTTTCCACAACCGCAGTAGACCTTGTCAAAGGAGACTGGAATTGCGACCCGATCCATGTGTCGGGCGATTCCTCGCGTGCCCGCCACGGTCATTAACTGCAGTGCTTTATCGATGACAGTAGGGTGGACCGAATAAGTATCGATTTGTTCCAAGGGCTCCTGTATGGTGATTCTCCCTCGTGCTGTCTCAGATATTGGATCAGCCGTTACGCCGTCAAGGCCCTGAAAATGCGGTCCATAATCGAGTCCCAGCTCCCTTAAAGAGCGGTATTGTAGACCAGTATCGACATGGCGCAAGAACGGTGGGGCCGGCTCGCCGGCTGGCACAGCATCATGCACAGCGGTGACATGTCCAGTGCAGTGCTTGCGCCATTCCGTGCCGTTGTATGAATGAATGACGAATTGGTACCAGTCCGAGTCCAGCACGTCGGTCAGCGTCACCGGGCGCAAGCTTGTCATCAGCTCTACGTCGTCCTGCGCGTCCAAAACCAGCGCGTTCTTGATAAGCATGTTTCGAATCACGTACCGAGAGGCACCAGATACCTGACGGATTGCCTCGCCAACTGCGGCAATATGCCCGGCACTGGGATACACTATGCAGCCGGAGAACTTGTGATCAGCGAGCCACGGGCTATCTTCAAGGCGAAGTATGTTCCGCCACGACGGCTCCAGATCATTTGACTCCAGGACTCGAGACCCGAGCAGTTCATGGTGGCCATGCTGACGCATGCGCCATCCCTTTGTAACTCGGCTCTCCATCCACTGCTTTGTACTATAGTCCCATGGATATGGCGGTAGGTCAAATAATACGGTTCCTGCCCCATTAAGAGCAGGGAAAGACACTTTAATGCCGTTGAGAAACATGCGTCCCACCGATTGGATGATGTTAATCGACTGGTGCTGGTTCTTGCACAGAGTAGCCACATAGTTTGGTGTTGGCTTAATCTTTGCCTCTTTGAACATCTGTCGGAGAGGGCCAGAAAGGGGACAGTGAGGTCCTATCTCTGCAAAACACATAGCCTGGCTCTGCAAATCGTGGAGTACTTTCTTGATTGTTGTTGAGAAGAGGACGGGCAGTTCTAAGTTGTTCCTCCAATACCTGCTGTCTAACTGATCAGATATAGTAAGAGACCTGCCCAGCACAGTGGAGTACATTGGGATCTGCGGTGTACAGGCTGGAGCTCGACCGCGAATCATTTTTTCGAAGATGTGCCCAATCTCGGCCATGTGGTCTACAGTGGGTTAGCAGCGGCAAAGAAATGGGAGATATGGGCATGGAACAACTCACGGGAGTGATAGGCCGTGTTCACATCTAGACGAGTGGTCAATATGTCTGGGTGCTCGTCGTTGAGAAAGCGAATCATTTGGCTGACGGCCTCTGCATCCCCGGAGAGCACAGTACTTTGAGGGCTGTTCTCACAGGCCACCACGACGCCGTCATTCAAGTATTGCGTCACAGCATCTCGGCCGAGGCCTACAGCCACCATCCCCCCCGGTCTAGTGTGACACTTTGCTGCTTGGCCTCGATAATATGCAATGGTGATGGCTGCATCAGCAGTGATCGAGTGAGCAGCGTACGCAGCGGCAATCTCGCCGCTGGAATGACCAACCACCAGTGTGGGAGCGATACCCCATGATCCAAGCAGGTTGACCAAACCGATCTGAATCGCGACGCACAAGGGCTGGGCAAACTCGGCCTGTGTAAACAACGACGCATCGTCAAAAGCACAGATCGTGTCTAAGAACTGTTAGTGCGGAATCAAGTGACACGGGAATCTAACTTTATGTCTGAGGATAACGACGAGGCACAGTGAGAGGGTAGAGGCACGAAGAGGCAGGAAGAGAGGGCAATTGAATGTAAAGGGAACCATAATGACAGAAAACCCTGGGCTCTGGAAGTCCTGGTTGTGCTGAGGTGATGATTATGTCTGTTGTCTTGCACGTACTTTCCATGCTCCAAGTGGGAGGATCGGGCAGCGATTGAAGAACATTGTCCAACCGGCGAATGTCTGCCCGGAAACCGTCAAACGCTGGTATAAGCTCTTTCCCCATCCCAGGCCACTGAGCCCCTTGGCCAGTGAAAACAAAGACCAATTGTTCCAGTGGCTTGGTGGAGGCAACACCCGATTCGAAAGCGGGAAGCTCTGATATGATATCCTCCCCGGTTGTAACGGCAAATGCGCGATGTCGACGATGGTCACGTCGAGCCCCAAGCGTATGGGCAAGGTCTAGAGCGGCGACTGTCCGGGACTTGCAATAATCTTTCACATACTGGATTTGTCTTGCGAGAGAATTCGCACTTGTGGCGGAGACGGGCACGAGAAATGGAGCCATGTGTCTCCTTCCTACCGATCCGCCATTCTCTCTCGACAGATGGGATCGCGCTGACTCTAGGATGACCTGTTTGTGTGAGCAGCACCACCCACATCTTACTGATTAGTCGGGCCTACATGTGAGTTTGCGCCTCCTATGCCAAAACTGTTCACGCTCACGAGCTCGTCGCGGTCTTCGGGCCATGGTGTCAGCTCCTTCGCGATGCGAAGGCTAAGCGAAACTGGGATTGGATGGTCAGCAAGGAGGACGGCTGTAATAGCAGGCTGCCAGTTTACCGTTCGGATTGCGATTTTTGAGGCGGGCAACCGGGGGGATCGCGCGATGCTCTAGCGCAAGAACACCTTTGATGACACTGGTCAGACCAGAGGCACCTTCGGACGTCCAACGTTTGGTTTCACCTGTTTTTGTGTCAGTTACGAGATAGCCTGATGTAGAAGACCCTTGGACCAAAACTTACGGCCCCAATGTGAACCCCTTTCTCCCCAAACACACGGGAGATAGCTTCGGTCTCCGCTAAATCTCCAGCACTGGTTCCAGTCCCATGGCACTCGAAAAGCCCAGTCTTGGTCGGATCGGCTATCCCGGCTCTGGTATAAATCTTTCGAATCAAACTCTCCTGGGCATCAGCGCTGGGTATGGCCAAACTGCTGGACTGCCCATCACAGGTGTTCATCGTTGCCCGGATGACCGCACGGATTGGGTCACCATCGCGGACCGCGTCATCCAGCCTTTTGATATAGACGGCGTTGACTGCTTCGCCTCGGGCAAAACCATCCGCATTCCTGTCGAAGGTTTTGCATGCCCCATCAGGAGCGAGCACCATATTCTCCGACATGCATTTCGTCATGGTCGGTGTCAGGAAGATGCTCGAGCCGGCGACCACGGCAGAGGAGCACTCTTTGGACGCTACAGACTGGCAGGCTACATGGAGACCGGACATGGACGCCGAGCAGGCCGACCTGATCGTGAGACTGCACTTTTTGGTTAGACTATACGTCTCTACCAGGTATCAGGTCTGAAACTCACCTGGGACCTCTGAGATCATACTCATAAGAGATTCGATTGGACAGCGCAAAGTCGGATGCACCGAAGACGTGGTATCGACTCGTGAACAGCGGGTCTCTCATAGACATCTCCAGCCAGTCCTCGCCGAAGTTTCCAACATAGCATCCGATATCTTTCCCGCGCCAGTCCACTTGACCCGCGTTCTCCATGCACTCCCAGACAACCTCGAGCAGAAGCCTCTGCTGGGGGTCCATGTGACCGGCTTCGGTCCCCCACATCTTGAATGCAGAGGGATCCGTATCGGCCAGATCATGGTCTAGGAAAAACCCACGTCTTGTTTTCACAGCTCGCGATTGGGTGTCACTGTAGAATGCGTCGATGTTGTAGCGGTCTTGGGGGACTTCCCGGCTGACATCCTTCTGACTGAGCAACAGGTCCCAAAAGCTGTCAGTCGACCTCACCCCACCGGGTAGTCGGACGGCCATCCCCACAATTGCGATTGGCACCTGGCTGGGGGGTTCATCATTGACGTGGTGATGATCAGTGCCGCGGTTAGGGTCGGAATGGATATCTCCTCGAGGCTGCTTGCAAGGCTCTTCGGAGCAGACACTTGAATCTGCTTTGACAGTAGGATCCAATTTTCCCAAAAGATTATCGTTGTTGCCACATTGGTCGGGGAATTTCAAATCAATAGAGCTCATTATTGCGGTAAACAATGCAAGGGGCGTAGGTAGTACTTCGCGTCGGGAAAGGTACTACGGAAGAAGCAAGGGAATGGGACAGTCTACCTTTATACATGGTCTTGATACTCTATTCGAGTTTCCATGCTGGATGAGTCAGGGTAAACCTGGTCTGCAGGTGTTGTGCCCAACGGCGTGGTGTCAAGAGACAGGTTATATTTCGGTCCGTACGCAGCTCTTATGTCGGTGAACACCATCCTTCACACTAGCATAACAGTCGATGTCTACCCTGAAGGCGCCACCGAAAAGATTTGACAGACTGTGACAGTGAAAAATAAGGGGCTACAAAAGCCACGCAGCACAAACCAGCGGGGGAGTTTCATGATACCTGCGACTCTCACTACCGATCAGACTCCTGACAACAGCTCACATTCTCCGCGACCCAACCAAATCGGCATTCCATATATGAACCATTCCATTGAGGGCCAGGAATATTGTGATCGACAATTGAGACATCGCACCAGCATGCCCAGTCGAGACCCCCTCCGTGGAGGGGCGAGATAGCCATTGGCCGGAAGCTTGTCCGGATTGCTAATGGGAGGTAATATCTAGGTATCGATTGAGGATCGAGAGATCCCTTTGGAACGTGCGGAACATGCCAGATTCAGGGGAAATACTGTTGGAAATTGACATGACCCTTGCTTCCAGCTGATTGCGACCAACTTTCCCAGGTCCATGGGCTCTGGAGAATTCCCACGCCCATATATATAAGACAGCAGAGAATCCCAATGCCCTGGATTTCGATCCCTCCTTGTTGCCCCAGAACTCCAAACCAACACTTTCACCTGAGCCCAGAATCCTCGACCGCCCTCTATACCTCCAACCATGAAGCTCAGCAGCCCCATCACGGTCGCCAGCATCGTCTGTAGCGCGATGGTTCCCGCTGTGTCCGCGCAGCTGGGCACCTCCTGCCTCGCGACCGTCTCCGCGTTGAGCGAGCTGCCCGGCCGTTTTATCCACCACGTGCAACGTGAATCCTGCGCCGCTGGCTGCCAGCCCACTCCGCAAACGTGGAACCACGCCGTCAGGGAACATATCATCGGCGAATTGGTGGAAGATGGCGCGAACTACTGCGATGCCCACGACACCAAAGAGGCCTTCACTGCCTTTTTGGACAAGCTGGTGTTCGACACTGTCGAGAAGTGCCAGCACAAGCTCCAGGGCAAGCACTTGTGCCATGACCGTGAAGCCGTGCAGCCTTTCGTCGACTGTGTCAACAGCCACGCGCGGTCAGCGGTCGCCGGCTCTCTCCCCAGCCTTGCCCGCTTCATGGATGAGGAGCGATGCAAGAAAGCCACCGAGTATTTCACCGGTGATCAACTGTGGGAGAGGGATTTCCCCGAGCATATCAAGGAGTACGTTGAAATTTGTCATGAGCTGTGATGGGGTGTTGCTCGGAGACTGGATTGCCATGATACAGGCTTTGGAGCTGTTATCTCGCCTTCTGAACGGAATTCCGCCCACCACAAAATGCTTGAACACCGGCGCTGGGTGGGGTGTCATTGCCAAACTTATGTACTTTTATTTTCATCGAGGGAACATTCTTTCTCTGCCGTTTGGAGGATCCATCTGGTATCAACAGTAGTTGCACTCACGTCATCAATTCAGCGTTGTATCCAGCCCTCAATCCACTTAGTGAACCTGACGACTGGAGGAGAGATCTAGACCACTTTGATAGGGAAAGCGCCTCAACCTTACATCTATACCTATTTCGACCTAGATCCACCGAGATATGTATCTAGTCCCGGTGAAGGAGGGTAAAGACCCGGATCATTTCGTTTGAATCTGCTGGGATCGCATTGCCGACGAATGTCGCACAGAAGATACCATTGAAAGTCTCCCCAGAAATGAAGGGGATAGTTGCTTAGTTCCCAAGCGCCGACTGAAGCCGATGTATTCGATGTATACATTTTCTGAAGCCAGGTATATATATAGAACCCCATCCCTTTCAAACCACGTAGAATTCTCAGATACCAAAGTATAAACCACATATAATACAAAACTCTTTTATCCAATAGTATACTTTTTTTGTTCCTGGAGAAATCCGCAGTGGAAGTAGAAGTAAAAAACCGAGGGAGGCGAAAGCGGAGAGGATTTGCCGGGATGCGGAGTGGAAGAAAAAAAAAAAAAAAAAAAAAAAAGGGTAAAAAAATAGAGGGAGAAAAAAAAAGGCGCGAGTAAGATTTGGACGCCTTTGTTATCTCCACCCACCTCAGACTACTTCTTTGACGCCTGTGCTTCTCTCTACAACCGTCAAGAAGTTCATTTCTACCCTCCATCTTTTGCAAAAAGCAACGACAAAAAACGAAGCCAAAGAAAAGAAAAGAAACAAACAAACAAAATGGCTCGCGGCAACCAGAGAGAAAACGCTCGTAAGAAGAACGAGAAGAAGAATGCTTCCAAGGTTAGTTGTCCCTCCCTTTTTCCCTTCTCCCTTCTTCCATATCCTCCTTTATTTTTGAATGATGCAACTCACACCTCTATAGAAAGGCGGTACCAACCTGGATGGCACAAGCCTGCAGAAGAAGAAGGAGGATGACGCCGCGAAGATGCGCCTGAAGCAGGCCGCAGGTACGTCCCTCATCCATCCTCTTGGACGATAAAAGATCCTTTCTGGCTTTCTGGATTCCCCGACTAACTTGTTATCTTCTTCATGAACAGCCGATGCCAAAAAAACCGATGCCCCCAACAAATGATCGGTTCCTGAACCCGCGTCCGCGTCTTGGTGGGACTTCTCCGATCTCTCGCCTTTGCCATAGTCTCCCGCTGCATCTGCTTGTTCCCGCGACGAGCGCCTTCTGCTCTGGGAATGATCAGTCCAGTTGGGACTATATGCACTGGCTTGGTCAGGAGGAACCCGCATACCGTCATCTCATCTACACCTGCATCTACACCTACATCTATACCTACATCTACACTAGCGAGGCGTTAATTAATTGTGGCGTTGCTTTCACCCCCCCGTGAGCGAAAAGGGGGCAAGATAATTCGTGACGAGTTACGGTCGCTATACCATAATTAAACTGTTTATAAGATGGATGTGGATCGATCGTAGGGTTGAAGAGTCCAGGCCGAGGTCACCATGTCAAGAATCGTAGCGCGCTCTAGGCGGGATCGACGGCCGTCCCCCCGCCTCTCGGCTTTACAGTCCAGACTTCCTTGGCAGCATCGCGCCAGGTCTTCCAACGCGCTGGTCTGTGGTCCAACCGCGAGGTGAAGGTTTCAGCAGCCGTGACGCTCATTCCCAGAATCCTCGTTGCCCGACCCATGGCGGTAAAGGCCCGGACAGCCAGGTCGACAAAGGTATATAGGCTCTCCCCCTCCCAGCGGATCCCAATCGCATACCCAAGCACCTTGTCGACCGTGTCCTCACAGACAGCCTGGTCCGGAACGGCCTCTAGTAGATAAAGCAGGAACCCCCAGCCGGATATATCCGCAGGGTGCCCCAGACACCATGTTAAAGTCGGCTCCAGAATGGACCGCGCCAGCACGGCGGGACCCTCCTCCGTGTCTCGAGACAAACGGCCGTAGAACAGTCGCATATAATTAAAGGCGTAGTAGTTCTTCGGGTGGAGCTCGCCTGCGCGGAGGACTGTAGACAGTTCGGTGTTCAATAGCGCGAAGACATCCGACCTCACATCGCGGGGCTGCACACGCATCTTATAGTCGAGAACCCAGAGCCGATGCTGCCACAGAGTCGGGGACTTGGTATGTCGGGGCAGCGGGGAACACTGATATGTCTTCATCAGGGAGAGCTCGTTGTCCAGCGCTTGGATAACGGCCTGCCGTTGGGCAGGGTCTAGGTCATCGTGGTCGTGGGGCGGGAGCAAGGAGAGTAAGCGTCTCTTGCGCCAGTTGCAGGCTGTGAGATGCTCGCAGTCGTACAGTAGGATGATCTCGGTGCAGACAGCTAGCTCGGCATCGGTTTTGGTATCGGTGTCCTTCCTTGGAGGGGCAGAAGCCGAGTTGGCGGCGTCCAGCGCTTTGAAGAATATGCGCCTTGCGACGGTAAACGCCTTTACGACGTGCTTCTTCGTAACCCCTATCGAACATCCATCTTGAAGGAGCGGGCCCAGCGCCGGAGGGAGAAACTCGATTTCAAGAATGCGCTCCTTTCTGGCGGAGAAGATCCGGCAGAGGTCCTGGAAAGCATCATTGCCTGGGACTGCCATTGGTGGTTCTCAGTGGTACGGAGGCGACATTGACCAGATTCATCCGCTGTCAGGCATTGTGGATCTCTTCAATTTCCGTATCGTTGTGTCAGGCGCAGCTAATGGAGGGGAGAGAGGTGGAGGTCCGATAACCAAAGAGCAGGCGGAGACCAAACCCCCCCGGCGGGCGGAAAAAGAGATCGGCCAGCGGCGCAACGTCATTCTCATCTTCGGGCTGTTTTTGTGTTTGTCTTCTGGCTTCTTCTTTCTCCGTCTTCATCGGGGTTATCAGTGTTCCGCTTGCCAATCAATCCGGCATTCTTCTTAAACGCTCTTCTCCTATTCTGGATCCCTATCCCCGCGTTCTGCGGTCACTTCCACCGACTCTTCTTAACGGTCAACTCCCTACGTCCACGCCATGTTATCACTCATCTGGACGGTCTTCTTCGTCCATGTCGCGATTTTCCTAATCAACACTATCGGAGCCGCTACGATCGACAACCTGGTATGGTGTCCCTACAGCCCCTCCTGGTTTACACCAAGTTCCAACAACCCCCTGACTGATTTCATCAAATAGCTCTGGCAGCTCTACCTTAAAGTCCCTACGACAACGTCGAAAAATGCCCGGGAACAAAGCCGGCTCAAGCGCGAGGTGGTGCAGCTGAAGCGCGAGATGAACAACACAAGCTCGCAGGACGAATTCGCCAAGTGGGCGAAGATCCGCCGACGACACGACAAGACGATGGAGGAATACGAAGCTCTGAGTACGTCTCCTCTAGCGAACGTCTGCATTGGCAGAGCCTTTGCAGACACTCTCAAGGAATCAAAGAGGAACTAAAGCTAACGGGGTCGGGTCTACAGACAAGCAACTCGTCTCGCAAAAGACCTCCTTCGACTGGAGCGTCAAAACTGCCCGCTGGCTCAGCACGAACGGACTCAAGATCTTCCTCCAATTCTGGTACTCCAAGACGCCAGTGTTTGCGCTGCCGCAGGCTTGGTTCCCCTACGTTGTGGAGTGGGTTCTGTCGTTCCCGCGGGCGCCGCTCGGGTCGGTCAGTATCCAGGTTTGGAGCAATGTGTGCGCGACGGTGATTTCGGCGGTGGCAGAGGTTGCTACGAGTGTGGTTTTGCAGGGGGGTGGGGTGGCAGGGCCGGCACAGGGTGCGGCTAAGGCGCAGAAATCGCAATGATTATGCTTGCTTACTATGTTTTGATTACATTTATACGAGGATGATAGCATGAAGTGAAGCCATATGGGAGTCTTGATTATTGAATTGCATGTTATGATTTTCAATTATGATAGTTGGTGTAATAATATCCAAGGCGTTATGTTCATCAGATAGAAACAATCGTTTATCGTCACCAACTCCTATAGGAGTATCTGTGCTTGACTCTATGATTGGTATATCATCACGCGAACCATGAATATCGGTGTCAAAGGGCAGGGGGAGGGTTCATCTATATATAAGTTGAAAAAGGAGTCCGGCCCCTTCGACAAGGCATCTGCAACCACGACCTCGTACATAATACGAAAGGCCCCAATCACCGCTTTCCCATAAGCTACAGACTCAAAAGAGAAAAAAAGATGAATGAACTCCTCGCCTCAAGAATGAGCCCCATTGAGTTACCCAGCCCTTCTGAAAACCAGTAGGACCAGGCAATCGCATGACTATAAAACCTCGACGAAAGGCAACCCAATAAAGACCTCCCTCCAGCACCCCACCATGCCAACCATTATTTCCACCGATCAGAGGACCAGCGTCGGACATGGAGCAGAGCGCCGGGGGAGAAATAGGGCCGTCAGCCGCTGTCAAATTGCTTCTGTGGCGGCGCGTCTCCGCATTGCCTAGCCGGTTGTTCCCCGAAAGAAACGGTTGGCTAGGGTGTCCGGGGACTTTCCCCAAAGCGTGGGATTCCTCGTGGAGAGGAGAGAGAATCGAGAAATTCTCTGTGTGTAAGCTTTGAATGCGATCTTTCGAGCGAGGAGTTGAGAGAGGAAGAGAAGGAAAAAATTGAAGCGAGTGGGACGAGAGCTGCTTTTATTGCTCGGTTGGTGGGTGGAGAGGCTAGGCTGATTCGGGTTAGTGGGTGTATATCTGGTTGTATTATGTAATGATTATCTTGTACTGTCTATGCGTGTTCATAAGTATTAATGTAGCCCGCCCAAGCACCGGCTTCGTCTAACAGATTATACTCCATGCTTCCTTCGTTACGCGTTACAGTATAGATAACAGAGAATCTGTTGGGCATGAAATTGAACAATAATCTGATGACCTAGGAGATATACACCATTATGCACTAAAAACAAAGAGGAATTGAAATAGACATCTACGCCTTGGCCTTGCTCTTCTTTCCACCCTTCTTGGCCGCCTTGCTGGCAGACGAAGGCGTCACGTCGACTTTCGGCTCCGCCTTACCCTGCTTAGGAGTGCTCTGCTTAGGCGTGCCCTGCTCCGAAGCCGGCTGCTTCTTTTCCTTCTTGGACTTCTTCTGGGTATCATCAGCCTTGGTCTCCTTGGTCTCCTTCTCAGCAGCAGGAGCCTCCTCGATGGCCTTGGTCGGCTCCTCAGCAGCCTCGACGGCCTTGGTCTCTTCCTTCTCTTCCTGGACAGGCACCTGGTCGACGCTCATCAGCTCTGGCATGTCGAACTCGTACCCCATAGCCTTGAGCTTCTCGGCCTTGGCCAGCCGTCTCTTCTGCTCGCGCTCGATGCGCTCAGTCCACTGCTCCCGCGTCTTGCCCTTGTCCAGTCGCTTCTTCTCGATGCGGTTCCACGGGGTGTGCTTGAACCGGCGGTTGGCGCCCTTCCAGATCTCCGGGTGCAGCTGCTCGGCCGGCACGTACTTGCACTTCAGGATGTGGCCGTACATCAGGTAGTTGTCCATGGTTCCGGCGACGATCTTGGCCACCGAGGTGGAGTTGAACTCCACGAACGCGTAGTGCTTGGAGCGGCCGGTGAGACGGTTCCGCGAGAGACGCAGACGGGTGATTTCGCCGAATTGAGAGAAGTAGGCGCGCATCTGGTGTTCGTAGAAACCGTGGGGGATACGACTGTTACGTATTAGCTTGAAAGAAGCGAGGAGAAAAGATGAGGAAAAGGAAGAAAAGATGAGACTCACCCAATGTAGACGGTACCGGGCTCTTCCGAGTTACCACTCTTCTCCTCCTTCTGCTTCTTCAGGAGCTTGCGCTTCGTCTTCTTGGAGTCAGGGATCTTAGGCACGGGCTTGCTGGGGTCGAAACCCTCATCTCCAGACTCGTCCTCGTCACCGCTGCTCTCAAAGCCCCTGATAAGCGCCGCAGTCTGGTCATCTTCCTCATCCTCATTGTCATCACTCTCAGCGGCATCCGGCGCAGCAGACACATCATCGGAGTCGGAGTCGGACTCCTCAGCGACCTCCACCTTCTTGCTAGCCTTGGGGCTGGCCTTCGCACTGGCGGTCTTGGTAGCGGCCTTCGGGGCGGGAGCAGCGGAACCATCCTCCTTCTTGGACTTCTTGTTACTCGACTTCTTCGACTCGGCCTCGACCTTGGCCTTGGACTTGACAGGAACAGCCTCCTCCGCCGCACTCTCATCGTCGGTCAGGAAATCAGCCGCACGCTTGCGAGGCTTGACCTGTCTCGTCGGCTTCTCATCATTGGCCTTCTTCGCCTTGGCGGCGGGCTTCTCCTCAGTATCCTTAGTCTTCTTCACAGCGGGCTTCGGCGCGCTCTTCTCCTTGGTCGTCTCGCTGGCTTTCTTGGTCTTCTTCGCGGGCGAGTCGGCAGCGGGCGCGACGGCGGCGGCGGGCGCTGTCAACCGTTAGTATCAGACGTTCGACCGTCAAAAGGGAAATAAGAAAATAGAAACATACCCTTACGCTTCTTATCCTTCTTATCGGGAGCCATTGCTATGATTGTAATGTGGTAAAACTAGAACGTGAAAGGCTCTAGATTTTGAGAGATGCGGGAGACTTTTTTTTTTTTTCTGCCCTCCAATTTTTCTTCCCCCGACGGAACAAGCGCCAAGCGGTCAGTTAGCTCCGCATGTTTATTGCACCCACTTAGTCAGGAACTATTCCATCATTACTTCTACAACTACAACCACAGCAACGAATTCTTTATTGAAATAGATGCCATGGGGAAGACAAAGAATGCCTCCAAACCGCTAACAGAGGAAGAAATCTGGGACGACTCGGCGCTCGTGCAGAGCTGGGACGAGGCCGTCGAGGAATACAAGGTCCGTTCTCGTCCCATGGCGCACGTGATTTACACGTCCAGAGACTAATGAACAACAACAGCTCTACCACAGCATCCACGCTAAAGGGGAAAATGTTGATGATGTCTTGAGAGAGGCTGAAGATGCTGAGCAGGCGGGTCGGGGGGATGATGTGCAGGTTGATGCTATGGAAGAAGGGGAAGATGGAGAAGCCGTCGAGGCTGAGAGTCAGAAAGCTGAGGTGTCAGAGGTATGCTCGATTATCGGTTGTCTAGCTGCGCATGCTCATCTTTCAATCTACAGGCTATGGAAGAACCTGCTGCAGCGTCTAACCCGCCACCGGTTAGAGGGAATCAGCAGCAGGCCGGTCCCACGGCAGCAACACCAACACCAATAACAGCCACGCCTATGCCACACCCAATGCTCTCACAAGGTAAGTAACGATCCCGTATATGTACTAGTACAAACTCCTTGACTTATATGAAACTAACAAGCAAACAGTTCAAGACGAAGGGCTAAAGAACCTAATGATGTCCTGGTATTATGCTGGGTACTACACCGGTCTCTATGAGGGGCAACAGCGGGCGAACAAAACCGACAACCCATGAGTGTGTTTTTTTATTCATCTTCTGCTCCTTCTTATAAATCTTTTGGGACACGATTAGCAGATTGAAAAAGATTTCCGTTGCTAGCTGGGGTAGACTGCCTGTGCACGCCTGGTGATCGCTAGCAATGTACGGATCAGTCAGCCAGTCAGTCAATCAATCAGCCGAGAGAGGGATTGCGGTACTTGTAACCAACCGGTTGACATGGGGCTAACTGACTGGCATCATCACGGGAATTAAATGAGAAGACACGAGGCTTGCTGCTACTTGTGTCGCTAGGTCTTGTTCATGAGGGTTTAGTCCTGCTTAGGTCTTGGGATGAGCGCATAGTGGATCGGAGAGATAGAGAGCATCACGGGCATGTTGTTTCTTCCAGGAAGTTGCGGCTTTGGTTTCATGTACGACGGGCTATGTAAGGTGTGTGGCCAAGATCACTGGACACGGTGATCCGGATCAGCCACGGGTATTTAAGACTACAGGAATAGAAACCCTCGCGTCTCATACACCTCCATTGATCGTTGAATAACAATTGAATTGAAAGCCAAGAAGCAAGAAAAAACAAACCCCCTCCCCACCGCCAGCATCATAAGACATGAAATCCAACCAACCAACCACCCACGCACTTCCCACCTATCAGAAAGCAAACCCCGCCTTCACAGCCAAGCCAACGGAACAAACAATCATCACAGACCCTTCCCACCAAGCAGGGGCCCAATAATAGGAATGTTCAAATTCCCGAGCGGGTTGTTCTTAATAGAGGTAGTAGTGTGCGCAGGCGTCGCAGAGGGCGCAGTGCTACTAGCCGCACCATGGGAAGTAGCCGATGGAGTAGCAGCCGGAGTGGGCGTCGCCGATTGGGCGGATGCAACGGCCGCGATCTCGCTCGCCGAAGGAGGCAGGACGAGGTTTCCGTCGTCGTCGGTTTGGGAGTCGTCGTCGGTGAGGCCGTTCATTTCGCCCATCATGTCCGCGGCGGACTGTTCTTGTGTTAATGGGTGGTTCTATAGGTTTTATATGTGGTGGTGGTGGTTGTGTTTACTTTACCTTTAGGGACTGAAAGGCGATCTTGGAGGCCTGGTCGACAGACATGGCGCCGTCTGGGGAGGGGGCGTTGAGTCCGTCCATAGGTAGGCCTGTGACTAGGACGGAGAGAGATAGGGCAAGGCCGAGTAAAGGAGTGCTGAATCGGGCCATTTTGTTTGCTTTGATGGATGGTTTGATGTAGTAACTATTGTATGTGTAGATGGATATAGAGCGAGTATTAAGGAGTGGATAGCCTCGAGCGTGGATATCTCGATGACCAGGGATGAATGAAAGTGGGATGGATAGCACACGCACGTCGAGGGAATAAGGGAATGGGGTCGAAACTCCAACGAAAGGAGATGGATATGCCAGCGTTCTTTATAACAGCAGGGCTTCACCAACGCTGTGAACCAGACGAGGAAGGAGAATCGCGCGCATGCCCTCGGGGTGCAGCATTCGCGCCTATTTCCATGGTTGGCATACGCGTTCTGCACCATGTGAGTCAACAGGCGAGTGATGCGCCTTGATTACAAGCAAGGGAGAAGGGTGACCAGCACGAATGGTATGAGGCGCTGCGACCCTCCTTGCCCTGGATTGCGTTGCGTTTAAATTATCTTCAAGGATCGACAGTAGATGTCTTAAGTGGACATGAGATATTTGCCATCAAGGCTGATTAGCTTCGTCAGAAACTACTCGCTTATTGGGAATTGGACAAAAGATTCTTGTTCATTGTTGGCAGAAGATGTGTTTGTTTATTGATTATGATGCAAGCTCGATAAGGCCGCAGAGAAATGCCGCACGACTGCATGTTTCACGATGGTATCTGGTATGTTTGTATCTGCTAAAACGACTGGAATGTATCTCCCTACTTTGACACGTACCGGCCCATCAGAGGAACGGACGCAACACGAGGGAGAAATAGGACAAAGTCCAAAGGCTTGATATTGGCAATGTTTTTGACCTCGAATATCATAAAGTAGTGACTGACGAGACTTCGAAAATGCCGAGCATGATTACTGTACTGTCACTGCTGTTAGTGAAGGATCCTAGTAAAGGATCCTGTGGATGATTAGTAGGCGAGCAATATCTGGTTCAACAGATATGAAAATGAAAAAAAAGACCAGGTGAAGACCATTTTCTTCCCAGTCAAGAAAGCCACCAGGGCTCATTCCGAAGAATCCACCGTCTCATCGGATAAATCCGACACGACTGGCATGCCAGCCAGTCGCGAGACCAAAGAAAATATTTTAAGAAGTGCTGTTTGCTCAAAGCGAACCCAACTACCTCACAATGGCAGGCATCGGGATTAGAAAGAGCAGAGATAATCCTTCTCGGTCCCAAGCTAAAATTTCCCAACGGCATGAGCTTTGAAAGGCTTCCGTCAGCAAGGGTATGTTGGAGACCGTTAAAGGAGGGAAAGAAGAAGAGAAAACGCGGGCGGAATTTCGCTCGAGTTTTATTCGGCCGCTGGTGTGTGCTTAGGTAAGCCGGGCCAATATCGCGCCGGTCACTAGCAGTACTGCTCTTACAGATTTGTTTATTTTCAATCTTATTCCTTCTGAATTTATTGATTATGGGTATATTTACTGATGAAATTGATTCGCTATATTCAATAATCGTGGAGGAATTAAAATTTACAAGATGACCACAGTTTAAAACCGGGCGATAACCCGCTCCTGCGTGTCGGACAGCGCCCACGCCGAGCTGTTCTTCTTGCTCAGCACCGCCTTGGCCTGCGCGGCCGTGAAGCCCTTGGCCTCGACGGCCGGGTTGTATCCGAGGCCGTTGGCCTTGCCCACAACGGCGTCGGGAACGGCCGCGGCGACCTTGCCGTCGGCGCGCTTGTACACGGTGCAGACGACAGCGCCGCCCAGGCCGAGGTTGTGCTGCAGGGCGGAGCTGGTCCCGTCCATCAGACGGTTGTTGGCCCAGCCGCGCAGGTGCCACACCAGCTCGGCACACTGGGCCAGACCGGTGGCGCCCAGCGGGTGACCCTTGGAGATGAGACCGCCCGAGGGGTTGATGACCATGCGGCCGCCGTAGGTGATGTCGCCCTTGCGCACCATCTCGTGCGCCTTGCCGGGCTCGCACAGCTCGAGGGCGTCGATGGTGATCATCTCGTTGGCGGAGAAACAGTCGTGCAGCTCGCAGACCTTGATGTCCTTGATGTTGACGCCGGCCTGCTTGACGGCCTCGCGGCAGGCGAAGCGGGACATGCCGAAGCCCATCAAGTCGATCGAGCTCTTGCTGTAGATGGAGGTGTTGTCGGTGGCCAACTGCTGACCGGCGATCAGGACGGCCTGGTCCTTGAGGTGGGGGCGGGCGTCGAGGAATTCCTGCGACACAACCACGGCGGCGGCGGCGCCGTCCGAGGTGGGGCAGCATTGGAGCTTGGTGAGGGGCTCGTGGATCATGGGGGCGTTGATAACCTGCTCGAGGGTGTATTCGGTCTGGAACTGCGAGTAGGGGTTGCGCTTAGAGTGCTCGTGGTTGACGCGGGCGATCTCGGCGAAATCCTCGTTCTTGGCACCGAACCTGTTTTTTTTTATTATCGTTAGCCAGGCATCCAAGGACATAGCGGAAGGGTTGAAAGGAGAAAAAAAGAAACATACTTCTCCTTGTACTCGCGGCCGGCGTTACCGAACATCTGGGCGGCGCCCGGGGCGTTGGTGACGCCGCGAGTCTCCGCCATCATCATGCCCAACAGACCCGTGGGGTTTTCACGGTCGTTGTAGACGGACTGCAGACTGCCGGGGTTCATCTTCTCGAATCCAACGGCCATAACGCAATCGGCGGCACCGTGGGAGACCAGGGTACGGGCCATGGCCAGACCGGTGGAACCGGTGGAGCAGTTGTTGTTGACATTGTAGATGGGGATGTTGGTCAAACCGAACTGGTAGAAGACGCGCTGACCACAGGTGCTGTCGCCGTAGACGTAGCAGGCGACGCCCTGCTCGACATCGTCGTAGGTGATCTGGGCATCCAGCATGGCCTTGACACCGGCCTCGAAACCGAGCTCATGGTAATCGACCTTGCCACGGGGCTTGATGAACTTGGTCATGCCCACGCCCAAGACGTAGGCGGGTCCAGCTTGCTTGACCATTGTGCAGGTAATAACTGTGGGAGGGAAAAAAAAAGAGGGGAAGTGAGGGGATGAGAACTTTTCGTTGGATGGAAGGAGAGGTATCAAACAAAAGGTCAACCGATCTTTCAGAAAGGGGTAAAAAACTGCAGAAGGTTGGACAGATTAATATATCAAGAGGAACGACGCGCAAATGGGTATAGGAGCAGGAGAAACTGGGGAAAGACCGCGAAATTCGAGTTCTTGCGGGGAGCGGAGAAACGATCGCAGCCGCGCGACCGAGGTCCCGAGGTCAACATGGAATACACCAGCTAGAGAGTCCACGCTGGTTCTTCTGATGATCGGGAAAAAGAGTCATGCGAATATTAGTCAGTGCCATTCGCATCTGTCGATTCGTTCAGTAGTCATAACATAATCAGTCTACACTTCGTGCGCCCAGGTATCGCCAGGTCTTGCATACAGTCCATCGGTAAGTCATGGACACACGTGAAGACGATCCCTGCCAGGGTCCGAGGACGGGTATTCGGTGGAGTTGAGGACCACACGATGCGGTCCTGAAGTGTTATAGTCGCTCAACATTCCAGCTCATGGTCAATAGACCGATCTTCTTCACCTCCGGCCATAGTTAGTCGTCTTGATATTAGTGCCTGAGGCAGCCAGCTTCCATGGCGGACGGTGCGTGGTCGTGGTTATAAGAGCTTCAGTTTGACCGCGAAGTCAATCGTTGCGCTTAAGCAAATCCACCATAGGATCATGGCCCCGCCCGATTGAACTATGGTTTCATCATCCGTGGAGGAAAGGTTGGACCAACCCACCGCTTACGACACCATCCCCCATCCAGTGCCAAAACCCATGGACGCTTTGTCTCTCTTGTTCTCGGATATCAAGCCATGCATCCACCGTGGATCTGGTCGTCGTGGAGGGGGTGTACCGTTTCGACAAGTCTAGATTCCCCGGATTCTATCCCTCTTTGGGCCAGCTGAGACTGCCATCCATGCGACACTTGTGCCAATCACGCACGACCGAGACTAGAGAAGGCGGGGTAGATTCCACTCCCTGTTGCTCTGGAGGATGATCAGAGGTAGATGAAGAGATGAATCTGTGGTATTAGACAGGCGGGTACGACCACCGCCGGATGGATTCACTCCGATGGGATTTGAGGTTCATGATGATGATGATGCGGTCTTAGATAATGCCTGGGAACGAGGTTATTCAAGTAATTAGTAAGACCATCATTTGATCTGTCAAAAGTACAGAGGACATGGTACTGTATTCCCCTCTTTCATCTTGTTGGAGCAGCAGCTTGCATCGATCGACAGAAAAGACCATGTCAAGCAAAGTGGAGATTCAGTCGCGGTCGCACTGGATGCCTCACGACGACGTCATTGGACAGAAAGGCCTAAACTGGTTCGAGCTTGAGAAGCAAATCGGCCCACATGCCTGCCTGATCCTTTCATTTCTTTGGCAGAAACCAACGGGGTGGTTCGAGTCGCGGTGCGAATGGGCTTCTTGCGATTGGACCCTTGACTGGTGATGCTCGACCTTGGGTGATCACTTTCCTCCTTCTTTTCTCCCACCGTGGGGTTTTCTCTCTCTCTCTTTCTCTCTCTTTTCTTCAACTCTTTCCCCACGTACTCCCTCAACCTACGCTCTTGGAGGTATGTTTGTCTCCCTCTTATCTGATCTCCCAATTCTTGACAAACTGTTCATCCAACTGTATGAGAAGAAAGAAGAGAAAAAAGAAAGAAAAGAAAACCACCAGGAGTCGAGCAATGACTGACGGACTATCGGTCGACGGACAGTAACGAACTCCTAGATCACTGCTAAATTCGCCATACTTCTCGCGAAACAGTACAGGCGCTTCTATAGCCGTCTGAATCATAGAGCCACCGTCATCGTCCAAACGAGGACCCGTCGCCCCCCCCCGGCCTCTCACAAGTAGAGGCCGCTCGACAAACATCGCCTCTTGATTGATCGTTTTAACCCCACTTTCTCTGTGTAAACCGACCGCCTTTTTCTCTCTTTATACCAGGCCGACAAACTCCCTAGGGCTGTGACAGCCAGTTTTAGTGGACAATTGTGGGACGCCGAACGGTCTGCTCGCACGTTGAGAGACCGCTTTGCGTTCCATAGGGTTCCCCAGCCTACTTCTCTGCGTGTTTGATTGTAATTCACGACTCGACGACGACGACTCAATTCAACATCCCACTGTTCTGCCCCCGATGGGATACCTCCAGGGATGACTCTTGATAGACACACTGAACATGCACCGCTTCCCTCTCCTTCTTCGCCACCCTCTAAACCTTTCAACATGCCTAACGGCGGCACCTGGCTCGCGAACGAGAAGACTCGAAACAAATTCTTGAAAGATTACAAGACCCAGGTTGCTTCCGGAACATCGACCGTTTGCGCCACCCTGGCTGTGGTGCGTGGAATTTGCGTTGGGCAAAGGATGTTGGCTGATCATTTTGACACAGACGCCTTTAGAGAATGTCAAGACCCGTATGCAGACGTACGTACGGCGAAGGAGACGGACGGGTAGACGTAGGCCAACCGCTAACGCCTTTGCAGTCACAACTTCCACAATGTGTTCACCTGCGCTCGCTACATCTGGCGGACTGAAGGACCCCGTGGCTACGTTGCTGGTAGGTGGCTCCGCCCGGATTATAGCACAGAGTTGACCGTCTAAATCAGGGGCTCTTCCACCTCTGGCAAGTGTCACGGCCGTCCGAGTCTTGAACTTCTCGACCTATAACTGGGCCAAAGTGCGCCTCTCTGAATTGGTCCAAACGATCACCGGCGTGTCTCCCTTAACCACATATAACCAACCCGGCAGCAGTCCGACCTTGTCGTCCATGGCGACGTTCACCGTCGCCGGGTGCCTGGCGGGATTGAGTACCGCCCCACTGGCGTGTCCTTTCGAACTGGCCAAGAACGTCGTGCAGACGTCCGTCCTGGTGTCCAACCGTGCCATGGCGTCCCCGGACGCGGTCAACGATCCTTCTCTCCGGAGCAAGCCGCGGGTGAACACGATCGAGGCAATCCGGCAGATCGTCAAGCGATATGGATTCCGCGGTCTGTACACGGGCTTCAAACTCCACGCGCTGCGGGATACTCTCGGATCGGGATTGTACTTCTCGGTGTACGAGACTGTGAAGCAGATTGCCTCCAAGGAGCTTGGGACCGACGGGTCCCCATTCGGAGGACCCATGATAGCCGGAGCGATCTGCAGCACGGTGCCATGGTTCTGCGTATGTTCATTTCTCTTCATTCCCCCCTCCTTTGCTGTCTCCCTTCGGTGTCTTGTACTGACCGGACAGACCTACCCCCTGGACACTCGCAAGACGCGCGCCCAGAGTGTCTTACTCGGAAAGACCAAAGAAGTGGGCGAGGCGTCGGCGGCGGTGGCCAAGTCCAGCATGTACAAAGGACTGTCGATCATATTGATCCGGACTGGCGTAAACAACATGATCTTGCTGAGCATGTTCGAATACATTAAGATGAGGATCGACCAGCTGGATTGACTTGCCTAAGCGATAACAGGGTTACTTTTTGTCGTTATTATCATTTCTCAGTACATAACATAGCTACTAGTGCAAATAAGAATGCTGTACTTGATGTACATATCACCGCCATTACCTATAACTACAAACAGCATGCAACCATCCATACATATACACACATATAAAAATGCAAAATGCAAAATCAAAACAAAAATCAAAGAATCAAAGAACCCTCCTCATAACAGCCGCCCCCTCAGCCGCCAACTCCCTCGTCTCAATCCTCAAATCCCCGCGCCTACTCAAAAACTCCAACCGATTCGTCCACATCTCCCACCTCCGCAGCGGAATCCCCTCGCGGAAGAGACTCTGCCTCCGGTTCCCCGTCGTCACCGTGATCCCCACCACCGAGCCAACCTTATCGCCCTTGCGCTCCCACAGCTCCTCGCCCATGATGATCGCCCACAGCGCCGCGCACGCCACATAGACATTGAGCTTGGTGACTTCGTCCGCTTTTTCGTAGGTGGGGATTACCTGCGAAGCTCTTCTACTCTCGTCAGCAGTACCACCACCTGCAGAAGTAGTAGTAGTAGCAGCAGCAGCAGCAGCAGAAGCCGCGCCGCCCAGCAAAATCTCCGCATCAACAGCAGCATCACCATCCACCCCAGCCCCATCCTCATAAACCGACGACCCACCATCATGTCTCTCCTCCAACGCCAACCGAATCATCCTAACCGCCACGCCCTCCAACCCCGCACTCCCACTCCCAGCCCCACCCCCCGAGTACTCCAAAGGCGAAGGCGGCAAGACATCCCTAGCGACAAGCGCCACAAAGGCCGTGAAATTCTCCCATCCGGCCGCCTCGGCTTCCGAGAACCCGCAGCGTCCGAGACCGGGTGCGTCGCGGAGGGCGGAGCGCACGGACTGCGCGAAGAGCGGCAGGTCGGCCCAGACGAGGGCGGATGGCTGGGTTGGCGGGGGAGGGTGTTTTTGGGGGATGGCGGGGGGCGGGGGTTGGGTTTTGAGGGTGCGGAGGAGGGTGAGGAGGTGGCTTTGGGTGGGTGTTGGCTGGTCGGGTTGCGGGGAGGAGAGGTCTTTGTGGGGGGTTTTTTTGGAGGTGTGGAGGGTTGTGTGCCAGAGGTCTGTGAGGTATTCTCCTGTTTATTCATGAGCATATATGTGTGTGGTTAGGTTCATTTTTTGTTTTTTATTTTTTTTATTTTGTTTCCTTTTTACTTGGTGGAGTGGAAGGGTTGAATGGGGAAAGAAGGATACCGATGATGTTCATATCCCCCAACTGATACTTTACATTCAACACACTGACGATCTCCTCCACGGCACTGTTGACATCCATCTGCTGCGCCATGTATAGACTGACGATGGAGATGAACGGCCGTGTGGGGGAGCCTTGGGCCCAGCCGTTGACTGTTGCTAGGGAGTCTAGGGGGGCTTCGTATTCCATTTTCTTTCTTCTTTTTCTCTCTCTCTTTTTCATTTATTTGCTGTATGGTTGGCTGGCTGGCTGGCTGTATGCTGTATTGATGCTGTCTTTGTTTGATCTGAGGTTCGTGAATGGGATATAGTGAGTAGTAAGTAGAGTAACTTATGATTTTGTGGGGTTGATGGTTGATGTTAATGATCATTCGATCATGATGTCATTTCATTGCGGGTGATCTTATCTATATACTAGTATATATTATCTAAGGGAGGAGTATCACTACCATCACATCAGTCTACTTCTATCTAATGAGTATGTGTTTTTTAGAATTCGCTGCACCAAGTACAGTCGAAGTTGCTTATACTCGTGTTGTTAATATAATACCATGAATCATATATTCCCGCAATAATTCCGCTCGTGTACTGGCTAAACTATATACAAACAGCCACATACACACCCATATATACATAGAGTGGGTGAGAGTGAGAGAGAAGAGAGAAAGAAAGACAGCTTTTCTAAACAAAGGGTATTCGTGTCAGGGCAAAGGGTAAGGGTAAAGGTAAGAAGGACAAGAAGGTAAGGGTATAGGGTATCATCAAAACATCAACCAACAACATCAACAAAACCACCAACTAAGTAGACAGAGCTAGTCAAGCATCCTCCCTCCTCTCCAGCTCCCCTCCCAGAAAGAAGTCCAAGTCACTTGGCCCACCCTGCGAGTGCTCATTCTCCGCCAACTGCTCCAGCAAACTCAAAAACGGGTCCTTCTCCGAGCCCGCGGGGTCACTCCCCGCCGTACCACTCCCAGTCGTACTGCCCTGGGACTGGCCCCCGGGTGTCAGCGCGTGCGCCCCCGAGATGGAGGCGTCGAATGGGAAGGTCGCGTAATGGGATTGGTTGGGTGGGGTGGGTGCCTCGGAGAGGAAGGTTGTTGTTGTGGGGGGCGTGCTGGTGCCGGATGAGGAGGAGAAGCCTAGTCCTGAACCACTAGGGTCCAGGCCTAGGTCTGCGGCTGTGGGGTGGTGGTGGGGGCCGCTGATGGAGTTTGAGCGGCCTTGGGAGGGGAGGATGGGTGTTGCGGCGGGGATTCCGTAGGGGCGGTGGTCTTGGAGGTCGGGGCGGGAGAAGGGGGTGCTGTTTTTGTAAGTTTAAGTTATAGAAGAGAGGGGGCGGGGTGGAATAGAACATACAAATCATCAAGATCCACCAATCGCACATGCCCACTCTCCACCACCAATCCCGGATACCGATCCAAAAAGTCCTCCAAATGGAAGACCGGCGCGAACCGAATCGGCCGGGCCGCCAGCGCCCTCACCAAATCAGCATGCACCGACGAGATAGCCTGCAACATCTCCCGATGATGCTGGACACCTGCCCAAGACTGGCGCAACCAGGCCAGCTGGTGCATCTCACGGGCGAGGAAGTCCGCGCTGGAGGCGAACACCTCGCCCTCGCGGCCGTGGTAGTGCACGCCGTGGACGTGGACGGTGCCGGCCGTGCAGACGCAGTAGGCGATGAGAGAGGGCCACTCGATGCGGGGCGCGTGGCGAGCGAGCTCGACGAGCTCGGCGATGGCGTTGGCGTGCGAGAAGCACAGTGTCGTGGCTTCGATTTGCCATGACTGGTGTTGGCCTGTGCCGCGCAGCTCGGCGAGGTCGATGGGGAGGAAGGGTCTGTACAGTAGGCAGTGTACAACGTGGTAGATAAGCTTGCTGAGCAGCAGAGTAGTGCTCTCTGCGTGGCCGAAGAGGGCCTCGATGGAGGCAAACAGGTCCTGTGTACCTGCGGCCCAGAGGTCCAACTCCTGGCGGATCTTGGATAGGTTGGACAGCGCGTGCCACGGGAAGTGGGAGTCGCCTTTGACGCCGCCGGCCGCTAGATAGCGGTGGGTGACGCCGAGGATGCGCGTGATGTCTGCCAGCAGGGCCGCCGGCCCGGGACCTTTGCGTCGGTCCGGGACGTATTGGATGTTGGGGCCGGCGGGGTCGAACAGCTCGCCGACCTCAGATCCGACGGATGGCAGACGCAGCACGATGGAGGGGTCGGCGATCAGACAGGGCCGCTGGGAGCCTGCCGCAAGGAAGCGGTCCATGATGTACACGGTCCAGAACAGGCGGCGTCGCGTTTCGCGGTCCGCTGCGGACAGGGCCGTTTGGGCGGGCACTTCCCGGTACAGATCGAGGGTGACGACCATGGCCACGGCGTTTGCTGTCTGATGTTAGTCCTCGACCGAGTCGGTTCGCAGAAGGATGATGTACCTAGCGTCATGTAGGCCTTCTTCCCACAGCCGTGGGCGAAGAAGGCCTGGGAGAGCATCAATAGGGTCTGCAGACTATCGATGGAGGGGTTGTCCACATCGATCATACGTCTGGCCTGGCGGGCGTAGTCCAAACTCGGCAGAGGGGAGGTCGGGTTGGTGTACCTAACACTGTCAGAAAACACAAAAACACTCTTGCTGAGCTGGGGTGAGCTCACTTCGATGTCAACGCATAGATGGCCATGGAAAGAGCGGCAGGGAGGTGGCCAAGTTGATGACGCTGGCGCGTGGACGCCTCATCTAAGATATAATACGGCTTGCCATGCAGGCGACCAAAGTAGGCATCGAGCATGGCATCCGGGAGTCGGCTTTGATTCTGAGAGGGAGGCTGAGACTGGGACTGGGACTGGAGAGTCGGGGGTGCAAACCCCCGGGGAGGGGGCGCAGCCGCAAAGTTGGTGGAGGATGGTTCCACTGCTCTCACGGGGGAGGACGAGGATTCGGGTGACAGCGGGTGGCTGTCATCCTGCAAGCGTTTCTCGAGTCCATCGACCCGTTTGAGCAGGGCCTCCAGCACATCGGTCTTGGGACCGCGTTTCTTGGGAATGGCATCTGTTCTATTAGTCTTTGACGCACGCTATGGGATGAGGGTATCATACCGTAGATGCACGGGCTTTGGAAGACCTTGCAGGCTTCGCAGCTGGGGCGTAGACGGTTACACTTGATCTGTGCCAGTGAGCGGACTGCCACTAAGATACAGGAGGGGAGGGTGCCAACCTTTCTCTTGCGGCATGACTTGCAGTTCATCGACTCACGAGGCTCGGCATTGACACGGCGGGGCGTCAGCCGGTCGATACTGATCTGGGGACGAGACATTGGGAGAGGATCCCATGGATTTGAAGATAGATATGCCGTTGTACAACAACGAAGGTAAAGAGCGACAGAACGATAGCAGACCAAACAACAGAACAACAGGAGACAAAGAGGGAATGTCAGAAGAATCAACGAGGAAAGCCAACCAGAAGTACTAAAAGAGGAGAAGCGAGGCAAATGCTCGGGTTTAAAGCGTCGCGGGACATAAGTGGAGAAAGCAAGGCTTAAGGCAGTTGAAAGCCACGGAGCAACAGCCGATGCGGGGATAACCTCATCTGATTGCCACTGGATTCATTTAGTTTTTAATTTACCAGGCGCCCTTGGACCGAAAGCGGGCTGGAGCCTTGTTAGAAGCTAACCGTGCAGAACGAACAAGTGAACAGCCAACCAACCACCCATGTCGATCCCCTCCCTCCGGCTAAATAGGCTATACCGGATATTTGACTAGGGAGGTATATCAGAGCGCCGTTATACGGGATCCACCGAACTGTCTTGAAGATCCTATAGGATGGTGGCGCTGAGGTTGAACGTCGGAAGATTCCCCTGTCCATCACGGGCCTTGCTTCCGTCTTGTGCCTGGTTCATCTTTCTGTCGTTTTGCATTGAGGGAAAGTCGGGTCGATCGGACCGTTTCAGGTGCCAGGATAAAAAAACAAGAGTATGCATGCATGTGTTTCTGAATCAGGTTTGGAAATCCTTCTTCATGTGTCAAAAAAAGTTTCGTCCCCACTGCCGCTCTATCTATATGATTGAAAAAATTGATATTCAAAACACCCGTCCAGACGCCATCCGTACAAAATCAAACGGGACGTTCTGTCCCACTAGCAGCCGTAACGTCTCCACCGTCGTCCAGGCCTGGACGTCCTCAATCCCATACGCCGTCCAGCCCGCCCGCACCGCCACATCTACCGGGTCGCCCGTGCGGTCGCCTCGGGTGAGGTCCAGGTAGACCTTGCCGCGGGTGGACGGGGGGGAGACCCGCCCACTGGTGCGGTAGTGTCGCAGCAGCGGCTGCACCAGGAGTGACTTCTCAGGGGGCAGGGCCGACACGATCACAAACGGCTGCTCCACCAGTTTCACCGACTGGAGGGAGGTGAAGGGCTCCAGCCCCTGGGCCAGTGGGCCGCTGCCTCGGAACCCGACCGTGTAGATGGCCCCCACGCCCAGGCTGCGCAGTGCGTAGAGGGCCGCCGATGCCTCCCGCTCCCCGTTGGCCAGGATGATGGCCGCCCGCCCGCGGTAGGCCGACGGCACGTAGTCCCGCGTCAGCGTCGCCCGGATGCCCTTCCAGGTGGCGTTCTCGCCGACCAGCTGCGTTGCCCGGGGCTCGTCGTCGCGCCGCACCGCGACGATGGTGTCGACGAGGCCGATGGCACGCGCGGCCTCGCTGACGGCGGGGATGTTGGTGCTGCCGCTGGCGATGGGCGGGTGCACCGAGGCGCCGCCAAAGTTAGGTTGGGTAATCACCCGCTCGATGGACCCGGTGGGCCCGCGATCGATCGAGGTCAGGGTGTGCGGCAGGCTGAGCTCGTTGAAGCACTTCTCCATGAAGACGGACTGGGGTGTCGAGCGAAACGAGCCGATGGCGTAGAGGTCGCGCTTGGGGAGCTGGCCCATGATGTGCTGGGCCTCGTTGATCTCGCCGGCGGTCAGCTGGCCGGGCGCGGCGATCATGGGCAATAGCGGGTGCGTGATGGGGGAGAAGACCGTGTTGAGGGCGCGGGACAGCTGGCCCATCTGGCCCATGTTGACGGCCGACAGCAGCGGGTACGAGCCCTGGGTCTCCTTGACAGTCGATCGGAAGTACTCGAGCTCGTAGTTGGCGTCGGTCGTGCCGACCATGGCGATCATCTTGACGATGTCGGCGTACTTGGCGCTCTCGGCGAAGATGCGCGGGGCCTCGGGCGAGGTCCACTTCCAGGTACCGGAGAAATCGTGAAAGGCCGACATGATGATGCTGTGGCCCTTGTTCTCGGCCAGCCGGCGTCGGATGTCCTCGGGCAGCCAGAGCTCGACGTCGATGTACTCGACCCCCCACTGGATGGCGCGCCGGAGGTACTTGTAGAAGAGGGCCGGGTCGGCCATGGGGAACTTGCCGTTCTCCTTGGTGCAGCGCGTGGTGAAGATGATGGGCAGCTCGGTATGCTGGCGCAGGAGCATCAGCTGCTGTCCGACGTATCGCAGGCTAGGCACGGGGCTGGGAAGGGCGTGCGGGGCTGAATCCACCAGCAGGTCTACGCGGATCTCGACGGCATCGGCCCCGACGGACAAGATGTCCAAATTGGGCAAGGCCGCATGAACATCCGGGAAGGTGGTGGAGATGAAGTTGGTGCGATGTTTGGCCTTGAGGTCCTCGTGGGGTCTCGTCTGACCCAGGATGAGGGAGAGGAAGCGCGTCAGGTCGCGGCGGAAGAAGGGACTCCGCAGAGAATATAAGAACTCATAGTGGCAGCCGTCCGTGAGGGCTTCCTCCGGGGAGGACCCGTCATCTACGCAGTGCGTGTTGATCGCGACCCAGTCGGAGGTCTTCTCCGCAGCGGGGACACTCCGCATCCAGTCATCGCCCAGGATCCCCACGACGACGGCGGGGCTGCCTCTCCCTAGGGCCGGTAGTGAGGTTTCTGCGGTCCACGGCTTGCCCAGGACATCCGCGACGACCTGCACGATCGCATCTCGTCCGGGACTGTACACGACGACCACCGTCTGCGAGGGTTCGGGAGGGAGTTGATGAGTCGGAGGGTAAGAGGGGGTCATGGACGAGGAAGGCGATTTGAAGATGGCAACGGGAGAGGCGCTTTCGGAAAGCAGGGTCATCGCTAAAGCTGTCTGCATCATCTCTATGGATGCGACGGCGTTTTCATAGTTTGGTGACGGTTGGTGGATGCGCTGTTAGATATCGGGGTATTGCACTGAGCGGATGTCCAGTATATCAGTATTCAACCGATGGTATCCGCCGATCGACAGAGATATCGCAAAAAGCAGTCGACCAAGCAGGGTTTATATCGATAGGCGGCTGCCAGTGATAGAGGGGTTGCCAGTGTTGTTGTAGAAGAAGTAGGTCAACCAGCCCAATAAGTAACCAACTCAACCCACATCAACAACGCAAAAGACCCGGGGAGAGAAACCAAGCGACACGACGACATTTGCCGGATAAGGGGGGTAGGAGAGTCAAAGCAGATGATAGAAGAAGAAGAACAAGAGAGATAGAAAGAGGGTAGAGAAAGAGGAAGAGGACGAGGATAAGTGAAAGGATTAATTTCCCCGGAGTTTTGGCTGAATTATCCCGGATCGAAAAGGTCATTTCTCCACCAATAATGGCGGGGGATCAGCGGCTTCAACTACGACCTTACTCGGTCGATCGAGATGCCTCATCCTACGACACTGGGGGAATACTACCTTACCTGACTCTTGAGTTAGGCGTGTTGAGTAACGATCTTCTCCGTCGATTGACTCGGACCATGGGGTGATCTATGCTTCTATGATTACTACGGTCCAACTACCACCATATCCACAATCGTAGTAACAGGTCCCTTACCTAAATAATACTACACTTAAACAACAACACGACAACCCTTATAAGAGCAGATAACACAGCCCCCTCTCCGAGCAATGATACGAGGAAAAAGCCCGCGCTGGCGTTATCAGCACCCACTCCGGTTCGTCCACGCATATCCACTCGGGCTTGCTCCCGGGCGGACGCTGGACATCCCCCGACTGGCTACACCCGGCCGTGGCAGTCGTGAATTTGTCCGTCGGGCGGATCGGATGGTTGACTTAGCTTGGCTGGGCCGGTGAACGGCATTCGATCGTCTTTTGCTTGTCCGAGGTACGGTGCTTGTTTGGGGTCTAGATACCGGGTTTTGCTGCCGAGTGATCGGTTGGTGTTGTCTATTCTCGTGGGTCGGCTGAAGATGGGTATAGGGATAGGGATAAATGGAAATGGAATGGAGTTAATGCCGCAGAGGCGATGACTATTCACAGATTCGTTCGTCTATCCTACATACATGACAAAAAAAAAAAAAAAAAAAAAAAAAAGACGGAAGAAAACAACAAGAGAAAAAGAAGACAAGAAAAACACAATCACCTCCCACGGTTCAAGAACAAGTGTAAGCTGGGAAACGTCGACTGACCCATCAATAAGGTATTACAAGAGAACAAAAAAGAAAGAAAGCAAATACCAACCAATGAAAAGGGGGTATTGAGAGGAAATCAAATCAAATCAATCAAATCAAATCGAAGCCAACGGTTCACGAGCATGGGCTTGAATAGAACAAAAAGAAAAGAGAGGAAACGCTTTTGCAACCGCAGTGACAATCATAATCTCCAGTCAAAACCAAATCAGAAATGAGAAATGTATGTGTAGGGTATGTTATGTGTGTACACGAAGGTATGTGTTTATGTACCGCCCCGACGTCTTTGTCGTCGTCAGGGGTTGATGACGTGCTGTCTGGCATCCGGTGGTCCGGTGGATGCTGAAGCCCACGCAGGCTATCCAACCAACTACGGCGTGCCATCATGGATCTTGTGCGGAGTGTGGGTGGCGGATATCGCATGGATGGCCATCCCTGAGATCCCTCAAGGTTCCTCCCTTACGGGGGTGAAATGGCCAGCCCGCTCATGAGCTTGGGAAGCGGCTTTCTTCGAGCCGTATTCGCTGCCTTCGATACTCTCGGGGCTCCGTGGATCATGCGAGGTTCTTTCATAAGACTAGTATCCAATTTGGCCGGTGCTAGAGAGGTCAATATCAGCATGTTTGTCAGACAGTGGGAGAAGATAGAAGGGGAAACAAACCTCGGATAGCGACACGCGTATATTCCCCGGCCATGCTATTCTGACCCCGACCCCCCGCGGCGAACGTGGCACTCGCGGTCCGCCAAAGGTGGTTGGACGTGTCAGACAGGAAGTCGGTCGTACTCCGGCTGGAGAAGATCGACGACCGGCCGCGATTGCGCTTGGAAAGCACGATCTCGTCGAACAACGTCATCCGGGGGTCCTTGGACTTGGGGTTCATCATCTCCCGATCGCTGATGAATTGATTGAACCCTAGAAAGGTTAGCAACGTTTCTTCTCTTTTTTTTTTTTCTTTCCCCCCCTTTATGGTGACATACCCTGTGTCTGCTGAAGAATCGCAATGTATTCCGCATGCTCACCCGGCAACCCCTTCATAAACGCCTCCATATTAAAGCTGTACGTAAGACCCGCCTTCCGCTTATCACCAGACGCAGGCTGCAGAAACTTCTTATAGGTGTAGAACAAACTGGCAAAGCACCGGACAAAGGCGGCCCGCACCTGGTCGGGATAGAATGCCGCCGGACAGACCAGGCAGATCTGAAGTGCGCACCGGTTGTGGACCACGGCCTGACAAGCGCTGCACTTGTACATGCCCTCCTCGGCGCGGTCGTCGCACACGGCGCACACGGCGCGCTCGTCCCACGGCTGCACCTGCATGCAATGGCCCTCGATCCAGCACGTACCCTCGGCGTTGTGAATCGGCTGGACGGTCGCCTGGGGCACGATCGTCGAGGCCGCCACGGTGGACTGGGCATACACCGACGGGGCATACGTCGAGCTGGAATTGTAGTCCGTGTTCAGGGTCGTCACGGACAGGTTCGGCGCGTGGCCCAGGAACGGCGCACTAGGCCGTCGCGGGATGCCTCGCATCTCCATGCCAAAGGACGAACTCCGTCTGGAGGCCGCGTCGAAATGGCCCGAGCGCTTCTCCCGCAGCGACGCCTGGAGCGCCATGCCCGAATCGTTTCGGGAGTTGGGCGTCGTGGGCATCGGCGGGAAGTGACCGGACGTGGGCGAACAGTCCCGCGGGGAAGGGGGGGATCCGGTCTTGGTGGTCGAGCTCGTGCCCGGTCGGTCGGAGCCCCTGGAAGAGTAACCCCGCGACGGCGCCTGCTCGTTTCGCGCGTGCAGGTAGGCATTGAAGATGAGGGGTGGATAGGCGGTCGGCGGGACGGTCTGCGGGCCGAATGAGCTCGAGTTGAGACTGACGTATTTGGCCAACTGGGTCGGCTGGGCCTTGGAGGTGAAAACGGAGGAGTTCTCCGACATGAAGGAATCATACGGGAACGCCTCGACGGCGTAGGCGGGAGGGCCCGTGGGCACGCCGCACCGGCTGTGGTGGGGGGCCGCCAACTGAAGCAGGGACAGGAGCTTCCGCCGCTGATGACGGGGCAGCGGGGTCGGTTGGATGGTGCTCTCGATCATGTCGGAGTCGAGGTCCACCAGCACGAAGTCATCTGACGGCAGTTCGACCTTCTCGTACCGGCGTTCGATACCGACGATGTAGGGGCAGGGGGCCTCTAGGGCCTGAATCAAGCGCGCGGGCAGGACGGGGATCAGCACGCCGCACCAGGTGATCGGGAACAGCAGATCCACCAGGGCTCGGGTGGCGAGGTAGAGCATCGAGGTGTGGGACGACAGGAAGATGATGCGGGACTCAGTCAGGGCGTATTCAAGCAGAATAATGATGTTCGCCAGCGATAGGGTGCGGAATAGCGCGTAGAGGTCGGTGTTGCGCGAGCCGGGCAGCTCGTTGGTGGCCTCCTTGCGCGCGAAGAGTCGCAGCTCCCGGACGGAGAGCTCGACCTGGGTCTTGGACGAGTTGGGACTGAAGGCCTCGGTACACAGGTTCATCACGTATCGCTCTAGGGGCTGCCAGACGCCCAGACGAGGGGAGCTCTGCGGGACCCGCTGCACCCCGCCATCGGTCATGGGCACGACGACCGCCTTCAGCCACTCCTTCCAGAAGCTGGTCATATTCTCCTCCCGGCCCAAGATGCCGTACGCACGGGGGATCCAAAACCCGGTGTCGCCGTCCGTCAACCCTTCGATCTTGGAGGCCGCGGCGTGGCGAACGGGGCGCAGAAGGTCGGTCATCAGCCCGATCTTCTCCTCCACGGCGCTGATCTCGTCCTCCAGTTGCTCTCGCGAGTCGGACCCCGAGGGGACCGTGGGAAGCTGGGCGAGGAGGCGGGAGAGTTTGGCACGCTCCGACGCCAGTCGTTCGCCTAAACTCGCCGCCAGCTCGCGTTCCTCATCCGTCATGTTGTCCTTGCGCCACTCCTCGCAGCGTTTCTCCAACTCCTCTGCGGCCTGCGGGTTCAGGGGGATCCACATGATCACGCAGATGGCGTGCAGGCGCGATCCATTATCTGTCGTCATAGCGAAGCCGTGCCAGGTGGAACGGGGGCGCTGGTCGGAGGACACGATGTTGATGTCGTTGGGGAAGGCGAACATGGGAACGTAGTCGGGGAAATTGCCCCGCACCTTGTGTTCATCGGAGATGGCCTTGGGGGGGTATCGGTCGAGGAGGACGGGCTCGAATCTCCGTTTCAGGGGATGCATGGTGGGGGATATCTCCAGGGGTTGGGGGACGGGGATGACCGAGTTGTAGTTGCTCAGACGGCGAGAGGTGCGGATCGACGCTGGGTTTCACAATTAGCACACTCATTCTCTCTCTATCTATCTGTCTGCCTGTCTGTCTGTCTGTCTTCCTTTCTCAGGGTCCGCAGGGCGGGGCTAAGCGGGGAATCTCCGTGGCTTACCTTGTCGCGCAACAGAAGGTTGTCGCTTCATGCTGTTCATATCGCGGAATGCCATGTGCCGTCGCACACTCCCAATCCCCGAACGCAGCAGACCGGGAGACTGCGCATTCTCGTCGGCCGTGATCTTCTGGGTGCGTAAGCGCGAGCGGGGTCGGGACGAGGAGGTGATGGCGCCGGCGCTGAGACTCAAATCAGACAGGAAGGACTCCCGTTCGGAGGCGAACTTGAACAGGGCCTTGTCGAAATCAAAGTCCTCGAAGAAGGCGGCGGTGGAGGCGCGGGGCGATTGCGGGGCGCCCTTGATGGTCATGCTGCTGCGGTTGCTGCTGGAGCCATTCTCATTGGGGTCCGAGTCGCCGGAGCGCATGGAGAAACGTTGGAAGGAATTGCGGAAGCCGACAACAGAGCCGGGGCGCGAGAGACCGTCGAGGCGAGGGTCGTGGGCCTCCTCGGCATCGGCATCTTCCTCGATGGTATCCGCAAAGGCGGGACCGGGAGAGGTGGCACTGTTGGCACGGTATTCATCACCCAATCGCTGATAGGTTTCCAGAACCTCGGAGCCATCCACGCCAGCTATCCAAAAGTAATCGGCGAGCGGGGTGGTGGACACCTCGGGGGTGGCGGAGGAAGAGAAGGGCATCTCGTCGGTAGTCGCAAGGTTGTGGTCATCAATTCGTCACCGATTCGTGGACGTCGTCAGCGCATTCGAGGGGTGATCTCCAAATTATCCAAGCAATCCTCCACAGGGTCGAGATCAATGGGACGTTGGTGGGTGGAGGGAGAAGTGAGCGATCAGGGGGGAATCGGC